GGGGAGGTGGAGAGGAGGAGGTGGAGAGGGGAGGTGGAGAGCAGGGGTGGGGAGCAGGAGGGGGGGGGGGGGGGGGGAGGGGGGGGGGGGGGGGGGGGGGGGGGGGGGAGGGGGGGGGGGGGGGGGGGGGGGGGGGGGAGGGGGGGGGGGGGGGGGGGAGGGGGGGGGGGGGGGGGGGGGGGGGGGGGGGAGGGGGGGGGGGGGGGGGGGGGGGGGGGGAGGGGGGGGGGGGGGGGGGGGGGGGGGGGGGGGGGGGGGGAGGGGGGGGGGGGGGGGGGGGGGGGGGGGGGGGGGAGGGGGGGGGGGGGGGGGGGGGGGAGGGGGGGGGGGGGGGGGGGGGGGGGGGGGGGGGAGGGGGGGGGGGGGGGGGGGGGGGGGGGGGGAGGGGGGGGGGGGGGGGGGGGGGGGGGGGGGGGGGGGGGGGGGGGGAGGGGGGGGGGGGGGGGGGGGGGAGGGGGGGGGGGGGGGGGGGGGGGGGGGGGGGGGGGGGGGGGGGGGGGGGGGGGGGGGGAGGGGGGGGGGGGGGGGGGTGGAGAGCAGGAGGTGGAGAGATGGGGTGGGGAGGAGGAGGTGGGGGGAGGAGAGGAGAGGAGGGGTGGAAGGAGGGGGGGGGATGAGGAGGTGGGGAGCAGGGGGTGGGGGCAGGAGGTGGGGGGGGAGGGGGGGGGGGAAGGGGGGGGGAGAGGAGGGGGGAGGAGGAGGCGGGGGGAGGAGGGGGGAGAGGAGGAGGCGGGGAGGGGGAGGGGGGGAGGAGGCGGGGGGAGGGGGCGGGGGGAGGGGGAGGGGGAGCAGGAGGCGGGGGAGCAGGAGGGGGGGCAGGAGGCGGGGAGCAGGAGGGGGAGAGGAGGCGGAGGGGGGAGGGGGAGAGCAGGAGGTGGAGAGCAGGAGGTGGGGAGGAGGAGGTGGGGAGGAGGAGGGGGGAGAGCAGGAGGTGGGGGGAGGAAGGGGAGGAAAGGAGGCGGGGAGCAGGGGGGGGGAGAGATGGAGGTGGGGAGGAGGGGGGGGGACAGGAGGGGAGGATGGAGGTGGGGGGGGGGGGGGGGGGGGGGGGGGGGGGGGGGGGGGGGGGAGGGGGGGGGGGGGGGGGGGGGAGGGGGGGGGGGGGGAGGGGGGGGGGGGGGGGGGGAGGGGGGGGGGGGGGGGGGGGGGGGGGGGGGGGGGGGGGGAGGGGGGGGGGGGGGGGGGGGGGGGGGGGGGGGGGGGGGGAGGGGGGGGGGGGGGGGGGGGGGGGGGGAGGGGGGGGGGGGGGGGGGAGGGGGGGGGGGGGGGGGGGGGGGGGGGGGGGGAGGGGGGGGGGGGGGGGGGGGGGGGGGGGGGGGGGGAGGGGGGGGGGGGGGGGGGGGGGGGGGGAGGGGGGGGGGGGGGGGGAGGGGGGGGGGGGGGGGGGGGGGGGGGGGGGGGGGGGGGGGGGAGGGGGGGGGGGGGGGGGGGGGGGGGGGGGGGGGGGGGGGGGGGGGGGGGGGAGGGGGGGGGGGGGGGGGGGGGGGGGGGGGGGGGGGGGGGGGGGGGGGGGGGGGGGGGGGGGGGGGGGGGGGGGGGGGGGGGGGGGGGGGGGGGGGGGGGGAGGGGGGGGGGGGGGGGGGGGGGGGGGGGGGGGGGGGGGGGGGGGGGGGGGGGGGAGGGGGGGGGGGGGGGGGGGGGGGGGGGAGGGGGGGGGGGGGGGGGAGGGGGGGGGGGGGGGGGGGGGGGGGGGGGGGGGGGGGGGGGGGGGGGGGGGGGGGGGGGGGGGGGGAGGGGGGGGGGGGGGGGGGGGGGGGGGGGGGGGGGGGGGGGGGGGGGGGGAGGGGGGGGGGGGGGGGGGGGGGGGGGGGGGGGGGGGAGGGGGGGGGGGGGGGGGGGGGGGGAGGGGGGGGGGGGGGGGGGGGGAGGGGGGGGGGGGGGGGGGGGGGGGGGGGGGGGGGGGAGGGGGGGGGGGGGGGGGGGGGGGGGGGGGGGGGGGGGGGGGGGGGAGGGGGGGGGGGGGGGGGGGGGGGGGGGGGGGGGGGGGGGGGGGGGGGGGGGGGGGGGGAGGGGGGGGGGGGGGGGGGGGGGGGGGGGGGGGGGGGGGGGAGGGGGGGGGGGGGGGGGGGGGGGGAGGGGGGGGGGGGGGGGGGGGGGGGGGGGGGGGGGGGGAGGGGGGGGGGGGGGGGGGGGAGGGGGGGGGGGGGGGGAGGGGGGGGGGGGGGGGGGGGGGGGGGGGGGGGGGGGGGGGGGGAGGGGGGGGGGGGGGGGGGGGGGGGGGGGGGGGGGGGGGGGGAGGGGGGGGGGGGGGGGGGGGGGGGGGGGGGGGGGGAGGGGGGGGGGGGGGGGGAGGGGGGGGGGGGGGGGAGGGGGGGGGGGGGGGGGGGGGGGGGGGGGGGGAGGGGGGGGGGGGGGGGGGGGGGGGGGGGGGGGGGAGGGGGGGGGGGGGGGGGGGGGGGGAGGGGGGGGGGGGGGGGGGGGGGGGGGGGGGGGGGGGGGGGGGGGGGGGGGGGGGGGGGGGGGGGGGGGGGAGGGGGGGGGGGGGGGGGGGGGGGGGGGGGGGGGGGGGGGGGGGGGGGGGGGGGAGGGGGGGGGGGGGGGGGGGGGGGGGGGGGGGGGGGGAGGGGGGGGGGGGGGGGGGGGGGGGGGGGGGGGGGGGGGGGGGGGGGGGGGAGGGGGGGGGGGGGAGGGGGGGGGGGGGGGGGGGGGGGGGGGGGGGGGGGGGAGGGGGGGGGGGGGGGGGGGGGGGGGGGGGGGGGGAGGGGGGGGGGGGGGGGGGGGGGGGGGGGGGGGGAGGGGGGGGGAGGGGGGGGGGGGGGGGGGGGGGGGGGAGGGGGGGGGGGGGGGGGGGGGGGGGGGGGGGGGGGAGGGGGGGGGGGGGAGGGGGGGGGGGGGGAGGGGGGGGGGGGGGGAGGGGGGGGGGGGGGGGGGGGGGGGGGGGGGAGGGGGGGGGGGGGGGGGGGGGGGGGGGGGGGGGGGGGGGGGGGGGGGGGGGGGGGGGGGGGGGGGGGGGGGGGGGGGGGGGGGGGGGGGGGGGGGGGGGGAGGGGGGGGGGGGGGGGGGGGAGGGGGGGGGGGGGGGGGGGGGGGGGGGGGGGGGGGGGGGGGGAGGGGGGGGGGGGGGGGGGGGAGGGGGGGGGGGGGGGGGGGGGGGGGGGGGGGGGGGGGGGGGGGGGGGGGGGGAGGGGGGGGGGGGGGGGGGGGGGGGGGGGGGGGGGGGGGGGGGGGGGGGGGGGGGGAGGGGGGGGGGGGGGGGGGGGGGGGGGGGGGGGGGGGGGGGGGGGGGGGGGGGGGGAGGGGGGGGGGGGGGGGGGGGGGGGGGGGGGGGGGGGGGGGGGGAGGGGGGGGGGGGGGGGGGGGGGGGGGAGGGGGGGGGGGGGGGGGGGGGGGGGGGGGGGGGGGAGGGGGGGGGGGGGGGGGGGGGGGGGGGGGGGGGGGGGGGGGGGGGGGGGGGGGGGATGGAGGTGGGGAGGAGGAGGTGGAGAGCAGGAGGTGGGGAGGAGGAGGTGGGGAGGAGGAGGTGGAGAGCAGGAGGTGGAGAGCAGGAGGTGGGGAGCAGGAGGTGGAGAGCAGGAGGTGGGGAGCAGGAGGTGGAGAGCAGGAGGTGGGGAGCAGGAGGCGGGGAGGAGGAGGCGGAGAGGAGGAGGCGGAGAGCAGGAGGCGGGGAGGAGGAGGTGGAGAGCAGGAGGTGGAGAGCAGGAGGTGGGGAGCAGGAGGTGGAGAGCAGGAGGTGGAGAGCAGGAGGTGGGGAGCAGGAGGTGGGGAGCAGGAGGTGGAGAGATGGAGGTGGGGAGGAGGAGGTGGGGAGGAGGAGGTGGAGAGGAGGAGGTGGAGAGCAGGAGGTGGGGAGCAGGAGGCGGGGAGCAGGAGGTGGAGAGATGGAGGTGGGGAGGAGGAGGTGGAGAGATGGAGGTGGGGAGGAGGAGGTGGAGAGGAGGAGGTGGGGAGGAGGAGGTGGAGAGCAGGAGGTTGGGAGCAGGAGGTGGAGAGCAGGAGGTAGAGAGCAGGAGGCGGGGAGCAGGAGGTGGAGAGCAGGAGGCGGGGAGCAGGAGGCGGGGAGCAGGAGGCGGAGAGCAGGAGGCGGGGAGCAGGAGGCGGGGAGCAGGAGGCGGGGAGCAGGAGGTGGGGAGATGGAGGCGGGGAGCAGGAGGTGGAGAGCAGGAGGTGGGGAGGAGGAGGTGGGGAGGAGGAGGTGGAGAGCAGGAGGCGGGGAGCAGGAGGTGGGGAGGAGGAGGTGGAGAGCAGGAGGTGGAGAGCAGGAGGTGATGGCTCCATCACTGAGCAAACATGGTCCCAGATATTCCTGCTTAGCTGAGATGGAAACATTCTCTGAGGCGGGTTCCTCAGTCCTGGTCCTGGAGGTCCTGAGTCCTAAACCAGGAGAACCGGACTGGATGCTGAGGAGGCCTTTCAGACGTAGAACTAGAGACTCATCTAGAAGCTGATGGATACCAGATCTCCAGGGCTGGAATGGAGGAGCCCTGCTGCTCAGGTGCCTAGTCCTGGTCCTGGTCCTGGTCCTGGTCTGCGCCTGCGGTGGGGATTATGGCACTGATTGACTGATCTGGTAAACTCTGCCTGCATCCACAGAGAGGTCTCCTCCATCCAGAGAGGTCTCCTCCATCCAGAGAGAGGTCTCCTCCATCCAGAGAGGTCTCCTCCATCCAGAGAGAGGTCTCCTCCATCCAGAGAGGTCTCCTCCATCCACAGAGAGGTCTCCTCCATCCAGAGAGGTCTCCTCCATCCAGAGAGGTCTCCTCCATCCAGAGAGAGGTCTCCTCCATCCAGAGAGGTCTCCTCCATCCAGAGAGGTCTCCTCCATCCAGAGAGGTCTCCTCCATCCAGAGAGGTCTCCTCCATCCACAGAGAGGTCTCCTCCATCCAGAGAGGTCTCCTCCATCCACAGAGAGGTCTCCTCCATCCAGAGAGGTCTCCTCCATCCAGAGAGGTCTCCTCCATCCAGAGAGGTCTCCTCCATCCACAGAGAGGTCTCCTCCATCCAGAGAGGTCTCCTCCATCCAGAGAGGTCTCCTCCATCCAGAGAGGTCTCCTCCATCCAGAGAGAGGTCTCCTCCATCCAGAGAGGTCTCCTCCATCCAGAGAGGTCTCCTCCATCCAGAGAGGTCTCCTCCATCCAGAGAGAGGTCTCCTCCATCCAGAGAGGTCTCCTCCATCCAGAGAGAGGTCTCCTCCATCCAGAGAGGTCTCCTCCATCAGCCGGACCTCCACAGCTCATCATGTCCAGCAAAGGGAAGAAGCAACTTTGCCAAATATGTGGCGGGAATCTTCAGGGGAATCAGCGGCGATGGCTGTTTGCCTCCCAGAGCAGGAGGACCGGTCAGCCCGGGACCCCCACGGAGTCCGTTAGAAGTGGAAGCCTGTCCCTGTCCACCCGCAGCAGTCCTTGGGGTGAGTTCAGAGAACATCTGCAGACCTTCATGCTGCGTTCATGGAGTAAAGCTGTGGTTCCTTCACAGGCAGCACATCATCGCTGGGCTCCTCAACGTCTCTGTCCCAAATATCTGTGAGCTCCCCGTCCAAAGCGGTGGACATACTGGCCGTGCTGACCCACATACTGGGACATCCGGTCCCCAGGGACAGCAGAACAGGAGAGTTTGTCTGTGGAAAATGTGTTTCTGCTCTGGAGCGAGTGTTTAAGTTCGACTCGGTCATCGCCCGGGTCCGGGTCCTTTCCTCTGAGCGTCTTCAGAAGCTGACCCAGGAAAGGGACAAGATCAGACAGTGGGTCCGCCAGAACTACCGACAGAGACACCCACAGGACCCCCGGAACAAGAGCAGCACCAGCGAGGACGATGGCGAGGCGGAGAAGGAGGGCTACAGGGAGGTGCTGAAAGACAACATGGCTCTGTCAGAGTACGAGTGCTGGTCCGACAAGTGGGACACGTGTCCCTATTTCATCAGGACGGGGAAAAGATGCAGGAGGGGTAAAGGATGTGAGGGCTGCGATTCCTTACGGGTCTCCGATTCCGACTATGAGTCGGTGTGTGGGATTCCTCGCCACCTGCCTTTCCAGGCCGTCTCTCCACTGGAGCTGACCCGAGACAAATCCCAGAGCATGCCCCTCCACTGGCAGAGGGTCCCCAACTCCAGCCCCGCCTCCCTGACCGGCTCCAGCCTCTCGCTGAGGGCGCCTTCACACACAGAGTCCGTCCAGTCTCTGGACTCTGTGGACAGCCACGACCCGTTCGGCTCAGCGGGTGATACGGCCGTTAGCTTTGTGCTAACGGAGCTGAGACGAATGGAAGGGAAGCCGCTCTGCTCCCCCTCAGGCAGCAGGATCCCAGTTCTGGGCAGGAAGGACAGGAAGACCTCAGGAAGAGATGAAGGGCTGATGTCTCCCAGAGTCAGTCGAGTTCTGAACTTTGGGGACTTGGAGAACGGGGGAAGTGACCTGGATGAGGAGGATGCAGATGTCCTGACAGAGCTGAAGGGCGAGTTCCTCCCGCTTCATCGAGAGGTGAGCATCCGCCGAGGTTCTGTGGTTCCCAGATAACTGATCTCTGAAGGTTCTGTGGTTCCCAGATAACTGATCTCTGAAGGTTCTGTGGTTCCCAGATAACTGATCTCTGAAGGTTCTGTGGTTCCCAGATAACTGATCTCTGAAGGTTCTGTGGTTCCCAGATAACTGATCTCTGAAGGTTCTGTGGTTCCCAGATAACTGATCTCTGAAGGTTCTGTGGTTCCCAGATAACTGATCTCTGAAGGTTCTGTGGTTCCCAGATAACGGATCTCTGAAGGTTCTGTGGTTCCCAGATAACGGATCTCTGAAGGTTCTGTGGTTCCCAGATAACTGATCTCTGAAGGTTCTGTGGTTCCCAGATAACTGATCTCTGAAGGTTCCAACCATGTCCTGCTAAATGTCTTTAAACCCTGGAGGCGTCTCCAGACTCTCCTTTAGCTTCTTTCCATCTGCCTCCAGTGAAGGACCAGGTCAGGGTATTAAGCTCCAGTTTGAATGGCCTGCATGGTTCAGATGTTTATCAGCATTAAAACGCCTGATAATCAACCATCATTATAAATTATTTAAATTAATTGATTAAATTAACTGATAATATGATAAAAAAACTTTTTTTAATTGTTTTAACTTGAGCAATTAACTCTTTGAGCATTAACATTATTAAAATAAAATCATATCTTAATTCAGTCGTTATAAACTGCAGCTCCTCTTAGTAGCTCCTTAAAATCACATTTAAACTTGATGAATTGGAAACTAAAAGACTGACTGACTGAGTTTATTTTTCATCACAGTTAGGGCACCTCTGGGGACCACAGTTTGGGCACCTCTGGGGACACCGTTAGGGCACCTCTGGGGACCACAGTTTGGGCACCTCTGGGGACACCGTTAGGGCACCTCTGGGGGCCACAGTTAGGGCACCCTGGTTAAAGACGGTGGTTTGTTCGTTTCAGAATGGAACTGGCAGGCTTCAAAGTGCTGTGAGGCAGCTACGAACCCAACTGGAGCAGGCTACTACTCGGATCAGGACACTGGAGGCGGAGCTAAGAAGAGATGGACCAACCAGACCAGCTAAAGAGGAGGCATCAGAGGACCTGACCTTGGTGAGAAGTGACCTCTAACACAATGAACCTTCATACTACAAGGGAACCAGATGCCTGAGTTTATCCTTATTTGGGTTCCTAGATCTAGGATGCACTGGTTAGCATTGTCCGGCACAGTTAGCACAGGTTAGCACTGGTTAGCATTGTCCGGTACAGTTAGCACTGGTTAGCATTGTCCGGTACAGTTAGCACAGGTTAGCATTGTCCGGTATGTGGGGGTCTGAGCGGCTCCCACAGAGAAATAATCTTTGAAGGCAGGATGGTAATCTGGATGAACTGACTGCACAGACCATGTTTTCAGGAGGACTTTCTCACTTCAACATAGATTCTAACTACTTTCTACCCGCTGATCACAGCTAATATAGCAAAGCTGCTCTCTGGCATCGAACACAGGAGCAGCAGAAGCATCTGGACTCACTTTACTGGACGGCTGACCTTAGTGAGGATCAGAGATGAAGCAGCAGGAGCTTCTCTGATGGCGTTTGGTCTGAAGGAAGCATCAGACTTTATGATTGTTGGAATTAACCTATGAAACATAATATTATAGCTAAAAATGATTTAATGTCTTCATGATGAAATTTCCACCTCTAGTCAAGATGACATCATCAGGAAGTGAGTTTAGGACTTTAGTTTTATCCAGGACTAAAGTAGAGTTGGAACAAAGCATTCCACCTCTAAATGCAGGACATCAGAGTCTAAATTTCTACATTTTCCGGGGGATGATGCCCCCTGGTTCCTCCTACGGCGTGCAGAGCCTATAGATGTGAGGCGCCAAGATGGACGCCCTGTGGAATATTTCCAGCGTAAAGCCTGCCTCCACCCTTGGTAAAGCAAAGGTAGATATTTTGCTGTCTCATCGCTCTAGATCTATTTCTATCCTGATCATAGATCTTTTTCCACCCATGTTTGCGTCTCCAACATCAAAACCTTTTTATCCAACCAGTCAAACGGGTTTATGGCACGCCCACACGCCCAGGCGGCTCCGCCTGCAGCGGTTAGCTGTTTACTGCTGAGGGCGTGTCCAGCAGGTTGACATGCATGCAGCTCTGTGGAATCCAGCCCCACCGGTGGAGTTTGCCCCCAGCAGGGGCAGATCATCGTCAGGCCTCTCAGCTGTCAGAACCAGGATGAAGGCGGTGAAACGGAAAACACGCCGTAGCAGCTACAGCAGGTTCAGACCTGCTGTAAAGTTGGTTTATATGATTTTATTGCAGGAAGGTGGTTTAAAAGATGCTGGATGAATGAGTCACGCCTTCAGGTGTTAGCACAGCTAAACGATGAAGAGCTGGAAGTCTTCCTCTCCAGGGGATGATGGAGCAATAATCCAGAACCTGGAGCCTGGAACATCTACTGGATCAGACCCAGAACCTCAGCTGTTTCACACCAGCGCTGATCCACATTAGATTAAAGGTCCACTGAACCTCCTGGTTGATCACTGCTGGCCTGACCCGACCTTTGACCTTTCCAGGTCCAGCACACCCAGCAGGAGCAGCTAAAACACACCTGCTGCTTCATTTCTGATGATTCTACCAGTTTAGTTCTGAAGCTGAAGCATCTTTGCTGCTTTAGCTGCGCGGTGGTAAAGTGGGTTTGATGCGCGGTGGGCGGAGCTACCCTATCCTTTCTCTGCCTGGAACAATGGCGGCTATATTAGCTGTGATCAGCGGGTAGAAAGTAGTTAGAATCTATGTTGAAGTGAGAAAGTCCTCCTGAAAACATGGTCTGTGCAGTCAGTTCATCCAGATTACCATCCTGCCTTCAAAGATTATTTCTCTGTGGGAGCCGCTCAGACCCCCACATACCGGCGCTGCGCTGTCACTGGGAATCCCCAGCAGCAGCTGCCTCTGGCCCGCTCGCCTCTCCAGGGTTTTCCCCTCCTGTTGGTGGCGGCTGGAAGTAGATGTTAGCGTTTTTCAGGTCTGTGCTACAAACTGCAGGCAGCAGGATAATAAAAGCCTACATATTCTGCCGGCAGGTTTCTACATTTGAAGTTAATTTAGGCGTTAATAAACGGTTTCAGAGGAGTGATCATAGCGCTCTGCATCAGCAGTGCTGCGTCTGACTCCCTGCCAGCTCCCAGATCAGCTGCTCTCATTGGTTCATGTCCAGCAGCTAAAGGTCCATGTTTCCAGCAGCTGCTGCTGGTGAAGCGCCTCAGATGCTCAGCAGCGCCTCCTGCTGCTCTGATGCTGCAGGAGGCGCTGCTGCACCTTGATGCATCAACCATTGACTGAACATTAAAACTAGATGCTTCTGCTGCCTGCGGTCTGGATGAAGCATCAGAGACATTTTCAATGTTTTGCAGATTTTCAGTTAATTATAGAATGTAAGAATAAATTATTTCATACAAAAAAAGAAAGTTAAAATCAATCTTCTGGACTTTGTTTCCAAGTTTGAAGACGTTTCTCTTCCATCCAGGAAGATTTTTCAATCCAAATGTCAGAAACAGCGTTTAGTTCCAGGTTTTATCCAGCAGCCCAACAAAGCCTGGTTTTAGTTTAGAAAACATGCAAATAGAAACGGATGAACGGGTCCCCCCCTTTGGAATGGGGGTCATTTGGCTTCTTTTTCTAGCCTGCAATGCCCCATACCTGTCTATGTCTCTGAAAGGGGGGCATTAGAGGGAATTGTTGGCCTGCAATGCCCCATAGGTCCTGAGTTTCGATTGGCTGCTGGTTTTCTGTGGAACCTTCAGGACAGAAGCTGCTGAAGGAGAATCACCGGCTTTAGATTTATTTAGATATGAAGTCATCTTTTGTTTTTACATTTAAGTTTCACTAAAGAAAGACATGAAAGTCAAGTTTAGTTTCAAGACTTTTTATTTCTGTTGCTTCTGAAGGAGCTTTGAGGTTCAGGTGAGTCTCCTGCACGGTCCCCCCTCCCCCACCTGGTCCTGCAGAGGTTCTGTCTACGACCCGTTTTTCCCTTTTTCTTTCTTTCTTTATTAGTTTCTGTTAATCCCTTCTTTTCTTTCTGCAGCTGAACCAGGAGGACGGCGGCGACTCGGTGCTGCAGATCCTTGGCCACGCCCTTCACAGCCGGGAGCGTCTGATCCAGGTGAGGTGGATCCTGTGCTGCGGCGGTGCGGGCCGACATCATCAGCACTGTTAATAATTGACAGATGGGCCGTAAATAAAGCAGGAAACCGTTTAGTTTGGTCCACTTAACATCCTGTGAGGTTCTGCCACTGGGTCCGGTGGTCCTGATCCAGTAGAACCTCCCCTCCTGGTTCTGGCAGCTTTAGGTCCTTTAGGGTCCAGTTTCCATCTGAGACGTTTTATTTCCTGCTGACAGCAGATGTTGGACCTCACTGTTTCCTGCCTTCTAGGAGTTCTTGGTTCTGATCCGAGGAGCGAGTTTGCAGGAGGGAACGGCAGCTGAACTGGAGAAGAAGCTGGTAGAGACCCTGAAGGAAATCCTGTCTGACAGCAAGGTGGGTCTGAAGTGGTTCTGCTGCCATCAGCGGCTAGTTTGGACCTGCAGGGCTGAATGTGCAGGTTCTGCTCTGCAGGCGGCTCTGGAGGCTCTGAGGTCCGAGCTGACAGAACAGAAGCTCCTGGAGGAGGAGATGGAGGCGCTGAGAAGAGCTGGACGGGAGCGTGAGAAGGACCTGGACGCCCTGAGCGCCGTGCTGCAGTTCAACCAGGATCTCATCAACGTGAGAGCGGCTCCAGAACCAGACGGCTTCTCAGAACCTCACGTCCAGGCTGAGCAGAGGTTCTGCTTTGGTTTGCAGGAGCTGCGAGTGGCTCTGAGGGAGAAGGAGGATCTGCTGAAGGAGGCGCAGAAGGAACGGGAGCTTTGGAGGCAGAGGGACGGCGCCGTCGCTGCCGTCTTGAAGGAGAAGGAAGTTCTGATCCAGAACCTTCAGCAGGAGCTGGAAGTGAGTCCAAAACAGAACCGGCTGAGTTGATTCTAGCTTGGCCTGTCAGCTCTCTGAGGTTCAGCCAGGTCTGGACTTTGACTAGGCCACTGCAGCTTTTGGTTCTCTGCTGGGTTTGGATCATGGTTCTGCTGATGATCCAGTATTGAGTGGAGCTCATGGTCCAGCATCATCAGCAGGGCCTGGTTCTGTCCTGCAGATCCAGACCAAACCAGCCGCTGACGAGTCGCTAACCTGCAAAGCTTAACGTTTAAACCAGCAAAGCAGCGACGTGAAGCTCTGGGCCGCGATCAGTTTAACCCTTTCAGCGCCTGGTCCTGAAAGGGTTAAACCATGAGTGAATAAATCTAGAAGCTGATCTGCTGCTCTTTGGTTCTGAAACCTCTCCTGCTTTCTGATTGGTCAGTTGTCTCCAGGAAGTGAAGGCCAGCCTGCAGCTTTGAGAAGCACAGAAAACAGCGCCACCTTGTGTCAGCAGGTCACCCAGCTGACTGCAGCTCTGCAGGAGAGCCAGGAGCAGCTGCAGGTGAGGCAGGAGCAGATGGAGACTGGAGGTGGAAACAGGAAGTAACTCCAGAAAGAAAATGAATCCAAGATCTTAAAGGAGTTTGATGGAGATTAATGAGCTGAAGAAGAAAACTAATAAAACATTTTAAATTAACATTAAACTAGACTAGAAACTAGAAAATGAAACCTAGACACTCCTCTCCTCTCCTCCTCCTCCTCCTCCTCTCCTCGTCTCTCCTCTCCTCTCCTCTCTTCTCCTCTCCTCGTCTCTTCTCGTCTCTCCTCTCCTCTCCTCTCCTCGTCTCTTCTCGTCTCTCCTCTCCTCTCCTCCTCCTCCTCCTCCTCCTCCTCTCCTCCAGGCTCAGCAGCAGAGCCACGCCCAGACGCTCTCCTCTGTGACGGCTCAGCTCACAGACGCTCAGCAGCAGCTGAGGGAGAAGGAGAAGGAGAAGAAGGAGGCCCACAGAGAGCGGCGGTTCCACCAAGAGGATGGCGAGCGGCGGGAGAGGAGGCTGAGGGAGAGTCTGCAGAAGAGGGACCTCCTGATCCAGGTAGGTCCACTGACCTCCATCCAGACCAGAGGAACTGTCTATACGCTGGATCAGGTCCGGGTATCATTACCCACAATTCATAGCTCCTCTGACTGACTGGGTTTTATAGTCTGGTTTTCTGCTGCAGGCCGACATGCTGCTGATAAACAAACCTCAGCCTGCCCCGCCCTCTACTGGCTGAACTGTGAACTGCAGCAGATATTTCATCCCCAATGAAAAACAAAAACATGCATCTAAAATATTAGATTGAACCCTAGTTGATCTATAACACCTAGATCTAAATATTCCAGCCTGCAGCTGAGGGGTCCCTCTGCGATCAGTAGGTGGCGCCGTGGTGGAGGACACTGCTGCTGTCTGTGAGCAAGGAGGAGAACAGAAGGTTCCTGTTGAAGGAGCTGCTCCTTCAGAGATCAACCTGTTCCTCAGAGCAGTGGAGTCAGAGTGCCGTCTGACCTGGGCCACAGAGAACAGAACCTGGCTCTGACCAGCTGGTCCAGATGTGGGTCACCTGCTGGTTCTGAGGTCCACAGTCAATGCAGTGACCACCAGAACCTTCTGGAGGACTGTGAGTCCCTCTGCTGACCAGCTGCAGGGAGCTGCTGGTTCCATCTCCCAGCAGGACTCGGTACCGACCCGGTACCAAAAGCAGGTCCGGTAGCCATGGGCGGGTCTGGGTTTGATTGACCATCAGAACCAACAGATGACCCAAGAAAAAGAAGCTGGGCCTTATTGGACCTGAGCAGAACCGAGCCCAGACCCGGTTCAGAGAGCAGCGATTAATGAATGAATGAATGAATGAATGAATGAAGGAATGAATGAAGGAATGAACTAATTAATTAATGAATGAGGATTCATTTCAGACAATCTGACAAACAACAATGAATGAATCAACCAAAGAGGAATGAAGAAGTTAAACTTATTATTCACCCCCCCCCCCCCATTACATTTGAATTAACTTAAAGTAAAATAACCTTCCTGTTAAACTTGATTTTTATCCAATATTCAAACACACACAGAAAAATGTATATACATATATACACTATCATCTATATCTATATAGATATATCTATATAGATAGCCCTAGCCGCCGTTAGCCTCGGAGCTCTGCTGGTTGCTGTGGTCCTCAACTTCAGAATTAATAAATCAGTAAATGTTCCGTTTAGTGAATCTTAAAGTTTAATCTTCTCGCCTCAAATGATCTTAAACTTCCTTTTATTGAACAACAGAAACAGAACTTTGATCTTAATCCTCTGAGCTCTGTGAGCGCTAACCTGGAAGCTGCTGCTGCTGCAGTGCATGCTGGGACAGCTGTCAGTCTGGAGGACGGACAGGTCTGCTCTGATGCATGCTGGGTAAAGAGGGAGGGGCCAGAACAACATCCAGGGACTGTGTCTGTTCTAGTGAACTGAAACGGTGCTGCTGACGTTTCAGCAGGACACGAGAACGACCAAACACACAGATTAAAAAACAGCCTCTGATCAGCGTCAGGCTCTGTGGCTGATGATGAAGATGGTAGTGATGATGATGAAGATGATGATGATGATGATGATGGTGATGATGTTTTTATCTTTTCCAAACTGCTGATTTTTATTTTTCATGTTTCAAACTTTTTCTCTTCTTGGCAGCAAATCCTGGCGGATGCAGAGGATCGGGACGGCCTGTACCAGAACCTGCAGCACAAACCAGAACCCCTGACGGCCGTCAAACACACGCTGTGACGGAGCAGGAGGCGCGTTTGGACCCCATGGGTTCTGCTCCTCAGCTGTGGACCCGGTCGGGTCGTTGCAGAACTGGGTCTTTGGTTCTGGTTCCTCTAATCATCAGAATGTAGTTATAGTGATTGATTGGCTGGAAGGGATTTTATCTCAGGAAGGGGGGCGGGGTGTTGGGTGGGGGGGCAATTGGGTCTCAGTTAAAAAAACAAAAAACTTCACGTTTTAAAGGTTTTGATTTTTTTCTTCATTTTCAGTTTTTAAAGACTCTTTGTCTGGACTGGGATCCAACACTGGGAAACTGGGGCCTCATACTGGGAAACTGGGGCCCCGTACTGGGAAACTGGTAAACTGTTTTTAGCTGAAGAGAATAAAAGTCTCAGAATAAAGACTTTGATGGTTTCTGTTGGATGATTATTTTCTTCGGCCATCTTGGAGCTGCTGGAGTCCATCCATCATCTAAGGTCGGGGGGGGGTCTTTGGATCATAAAGATTTAAGTTTTATTTTATTTTCTGAATAAACTCTTTGGGATAAAAACTTGAATCAAAACTAAAATGAACAGAAACGGTGATTAAATGTGGAGTAAAAATATAACTGGACTTTGTGTTTATTGGGATGAAATTATTATAAATTAATAAACATAAAATATTAAACACTTTATGTTGTTTTCTTTCATTTTCCAAAAAAGGAAATAATTTAAAAATAATCTGGGATGTTCTGGAGTTTGTCTCTAATGGGCTGAATGTCTTATTTTAATAATAACTTAATAATTGAACTTTATTGATGAGGAATTCCTCTCTGCTTTTAACCCCTCCTCTTGGGGAGCAGAGGGCTGCCATGGTGCGGCGCCCACAGAGCAGCGAGGGGTTAATCAGAATCAGACATACTTTAATAATCCAGATGGAGATGACAGTAAAGGCTCCTCAGGGAAAAGGACATTCCTGTAGAACGGGTCTGTTTTTATCCTGCCAGGTTTATCCAGCAGCCCAACTAAGCCTGGTTTTAGTTAAACCTGCAAATAGAAACGGATGAACGGGTCCCCCCCTTTGGAATGGGGGTCATTTGGCTTCTTTGTTAGCCTGCAATGCCCCATACCTGTCTATGTCTCTGAATGGGGGGTCGTTAGAGGGAATTGTTGGCCTGGCTGAATGGGTGAGATGTTTTGGCCCCCCTGGATGGGGATGGGAAGAGAAACGTCTTCAAACTTGGGAACAAAGTCCAGTGGATTATTTTTAAAGTTTTTTTGGACTCTGACCCGGATGACTCTCCATCAACCACTGGATTGGTTCCAGTTTGAAGACGTTCAGCTTCCCATCCAATGGAAAGGTGTCCATCCATCCAGTTCTGCCCTCCAGTCCTCCCAGCATGGCCCGACGCGCCGCTCTGGTCCATCCAGCACCTGCTCCAGCAGACTCAGACCAGGCGGCCCCCGGAGCGCCGGTTTGACCCCAGGAAAGGAAAAGTTTGATCTTTTATATTTTTTTCTTTGGTTGCTTGAAATGTTTGGATGTTGCCTCTAAGGGAGACTTTCTGGTTGCTCTGGTTGCCTCCGTCTGCTAAAGCTGCGACTTTAAAGAATGACCCCAGAGGGTTCCTGAGGTCACGCTTTGGAGGTTTTCCTGTATTTCATCTATAAATAATATTTGACGCTCTGCAGAAATGAAAGCTGCTCACTGGAAGAATTTCTTTCTTTAACGAGGCTCAGAGAGAGAAAGGTTTCACTCAGAGCTTCCAAGTCACGAGTCTGCAGGTCACCTGACTGTCCTCCTGCTAAACTCAACGTCTTTCATTAAGGGATGAGTCCTGATTCAATAAATGTTCTCTGGGCTCCTCGGAGCGCAGAACATAGAAGTAGCATTTGGTTGAAATAAAGACGGTTAATTGAATATTCAGCAGGAAGCAGAGCTGCTGCAGCTGCTGATCTCAGAGCAGAACATCAGGAGATGAACCTTCAGATCCGTGCTGGACTCAGCTGATCGGTTCACTGCTGGTTCTCTGGGTTCGATACGCTGACAGCTGCTGGGACACGGAGAGGTGAGGATCCGGAGGAACAAGAACCCCCCCCCCGGTGATCCAGGAGCTACCAGCCATGAATAAACTTCTCTACCTTCTGCTCCTGATCTGCTGCCCTCCAGCTGTGGGTAAGAAGACACTAGAAGTTCCTCTGATTGATCTGCTGTTAGAGAGATTCTAACTGTCTGAAAAGGACAATATTATCATTATAGTTTGATATCAAACAGATTTAATCTCATTGTTCTTAGATTCCTGCAGCATGAAGATCATCCTGTTAAAAAGCTGAATCTGTCTCAGATGTTTCAGCTGCATTCTGGTTGTTCTGGTTCTGTAAAGTCTGTAAGAACGACGTCTACGGCTCAAAGCAGCTTAGCTGCAAAGAGAGGCGTCTGACTTTCATTCAAAGGAGCCAAAATCGGGTTTTTAATCCCAAACGGCTCCGACTGCTGATCAGCAGGTCAGCCGCCTAGAAAAGCTTCAGATTCAAACCGACAACCTGTGCCCAGGAACCTCCTGCACCAAACATGGCGTCTGTCATGGTGCGGGTTCTGACTGGTTTTACTGAACCCTCTGACTAAGATGCGCCTCCTGTCCTCCAGCCTCCCTCTTCTGCTACACCTGCGTGTTTCCGGCCGTCTCTCCTCTGGACTGCATCCGGTTCCCTCTGCGCTGCCCCCCCGGGCAGCTCTGCCTGTCCAGCAGGGCGGTGGGACAGAAAGGTGAGGGCGTGGCAGGGTGAGGAGGGGAGCGGGGGAGGCTGGCTGGGTGGGAGGACTAAGCTGCTGTCTCTGCCCCCCCCCCCCCTCAGGTGACTTCCAGGTGGTTCTGTATGAGAAGAGCTGCGTCCTGCCGTCCCTGTGTGGCGTCAGGGGGGAGAGGTTCGCTCTGGGCCTGAACTTTACCTTCACCAACCAATGCTGCCGCACTCACCTGTGCAACACAGCTGCCGCCCCCCCATCGCCCCCCCTCTGGACGGCCCTGCTGCTCCCCCTGCTGGCGCTGCGCTGAACACTCAACATCACTCAGTTTTTATCAAACATCGATTCAAACATCGATTCCTCATCAAACCGTTTTATAAAACATGCAAATAAATCTACAATAAAATAATCATATTGTGTCATAAAGGCTCATTAAAATAACAGTTTTCCATCATTAATATTATAAATGTATCCTATATAACCTGCATCTTCTACATCACTACAGTCACTGTTTATTATTATTATTATTAATCTACTTTTATTTGACTCCACAGAACGTCCCAATAAATCCACCATAAACATCTAAACATTCTACTGCCTGCCATAGATCCTTCCTCTGAAATATTATTGGTTTCATTGTTTGGCTGCAATACCTCAGAGATCCGCTGGGTGGCGCCCTCCCCTCCTCTGGTCCAGCAGGTGTCCCTACATGGACCGGGAGGTCCAGTTGGACCGTCTCTGTCCTCAGAAGGTCAGTTACCTGCTCAGGCGTGCTGGAAGCTGTTTCAAGCGAGGGGGGCTGATGGCTCGGTTGGAAAACACGTGACGTCATTATGTTGAGGGCTGTGGCTGACGTTTTTAACGTAATATTGTAGGCCTACATTTGTCGCCAAAAACTGCCATTTAAAATGCATCGGAACAAAGCATGAACATTTTAAACTTTATTTCTTCTCTTTTAATCATTCAAAACAAACAACAGCTCCCAATCAACAGGATCAGGAATACTTGAATGAAACATGGCCTAAATATAGCCTAAACTGAGCATTGAACGTCTTGAAAGTCCATTCGACTACGGATATGGGGAATGATTTCATATCTGAAACAAAAAACACACAAAAAAAAACAAACTAATTTCATATTTTGTCACTAAATAGCTTAATACAGACATAAAATTTAGTGATATGCAGCCTTATTCTAGCGTATAGGGGAATTAAAACCATTTCTTACCTCGAAATAGTCAGAAATACGTTTCTGCTGCCTATTGCTAGCCATGCCTGAACGAATGTGAGGTGGCGGAAGCTTCCGGGGGAGTAGCCTAGTTTTTTATGAAATATTAAAATAATGAATCATTAGTTTATATCTTATACACAGCCCATCATTTTAATCCCATATCAAACACAGTCTTTTAAAAAATAAATACATAAATAATTTCATGTTTTTAAGTACAATATTATGTTACCCCACAGCCCCCCACCATGGGGGGCTGATGCTATGACGAGGGAGGCTGCAGCCCCCGCAGCACCCCCCTTCCCGTGCCACTGTACCTGCTGCTCTCAGGGGCCTCTCAGACGGTCCGAACCTGGAACCGGACCTGGAACCGAATCTGGAACCGGACCTGGAACTGAACCTGGAACTGAACCTTGAACCTGGAACCAGACCTGGAACCGAACCTGGAACTGAACCTTGAACCTGGAACCAAACCTGGAATCGGACCTGGAACCGAACCTGGAGCCGAACCTGGAACCAGACCTGGAACCGGACCTGGAACTGGACCTGGAACCTGGAACCGGACCTGGAACCGAACCTGGAGCCGAACCTGGAACCAGACCTGGAACCGAACCTGGAACTGAACCTTGAACCTGGAACCAGACCTGGAACCGAACCTGGAACTGAACCTTGAACCTGGAACCAAACCTGGAATCGGACCTGGAACCGAACCTGGAGCCGAACCTGGAACCAGACCTGGAACCGGACCTGGAACTGGACCTGGAACCTGGAACCGGACCTGGAACCGAACCTGGAGCCGAACCTGGAACCAGACCTGGAACCGAACCTGGAACTGAACCTTGAACCTGGAACCAGACCTGGAACCGAACCTGGAACTGAACCTTGAACCTGGAACCAGACCTGGAATCGGACCTGGAACCGAACCTGGAGCCGAACCTGGAACCAGACCTGGAACCGGACCTGGAACTGGACCTGGAACCTGGAACCAAACCTGGAACTGGACCTGGAACTGGACCTGGAACCTGGAACCAAACCTGGAACCGGACCTGGAACCGAACCTGGAGCCGAACCTGGAACCAGACCTGGAACCGAACCTGGAACTGAACCTTGAACCTGGAACCAAACCTGGAACCGGACCTGGAACCGAACCTGGAGCCGAACCTGGAACCAGACCTGGAACCTGGAACTGAACCTGGAACCGAACCTGGGACCGAATCTGGAACTGGACCTGGAGTGGAACCTGGAACCGGACCTGGAACCGAACCTGGAACCAAACCTGGAAACGAACCTGGAATCGGACCTGGGACCGAACCTGGAACCTGGAAACAGATCTGGAACCTGGAACCAGACCTGGAACCGGACCTGGGACCTGGAACCAGGCCTGGAACCGGACCTGGAACCTGGAACCAGACCTTGAACCGGACCTGGAACCTGGAACCAGACCTGGAACCTGGAACTGAACCTGGAACCGAACCTGGGACCGAATCTGGAACTGGACCTGGAGTGGAACCTGGAACCGGACCTGGAACCGAACCTGGAACCAAACCTGGAAACGAACCTAGAGCCGAACCTGGAACGGAGCCTGGAAACAAACCTGGAACCAAACCTGGAACCGAACCTGGAACCAAACCTGGAATCGGACCTGGAACCGAACCTGGAGCCGAACCTGGAACCAGACCTGGAACCGGACCTGGAACTGGACCTGGAACCTGGAACCGGACCTGGAACCGAACCTGGAGCCGAACCTGGAACCAGACCTGGAACCGAACCTGGAACTGAACCTTGAACCTGGAACCAGACCTGGAACCGAACCTGGAACTGAACCTTGAACCTGGAACCAGACCTGGAATCGGACCTGGAACCGAACCTGGAGCCGAACCTGGAACCAGACCTGGAACCGGACCTGGAACTGGACCTGGAACCTGGAACCAAACCTGGAACTGGACCTGGAACTGGACCTGGAACCTGGAACCAAACCTGGAACCGGACCTGGAACCGAACCTGGAGCCGAACCTGGAACCAGACCTGGAACCGAACCTGGAACTGAACCTTGAACCTGGAACCAAACCTGGAACCGGACCTGGAACCGAACCTGGAGCCGAACCTGGAACCAGACCTGGAACCTGGAACTGAACCTGGAACCGAACCTGGGACCGAATCTGGAACTGGACCTGGAGTGGAACCTGGAACCGGACCTGGAACCGAACCTGGAACCAAACCTGGAAACGAACCTGGAATCGGACCTGGGACCGAACCTGGAACCTGGAAACAGATCTGGAACCTGGAACCAGACCTGGAACCGGACCTGGGACCTGGAACCAGGCCTGGAACCGGACCTGGAACCTGGAACCAGACCTTGAACCGGACCTGGAACCTGGAACCAGACCTGGAACCTGGAACTGAACCTGGAACCGAACCTGGGACCGAATCTGGAACTGGACCTGGAGTGGAACCTGGAACCGGACCTGGAACCGAACCTGGAACCAAACCTGGAAACGAACCTAGAGCCGAACCTGGAACGGAGCCTGGAAACAAACCTGGAACCAAACCTGGAACCGAACCTGGAATCGGACCTGGGATCGAACCTGGAACCTGGAAACAGATCTGGAACCTGGAACCAGACCTGGAACCGGACCTGGGACCTGGAACCAGGCCTGGAACCGGACCTGGGACCTGGAACCAGGCCTGGAACCGGACCTGGAACCTGGAACCAGACCTTGAACCGGACCTGGAACCTGGAACCAGACCTTGAACTGGACCTGGAACCTGGAACCAGACCTGGAACCGGACCTGGGACCTGGAACCAGACCTGGAACTGACCTCCTGATGCCGAGGGGCCAAACACAGAAGCACCCCCGCCTCCCAGTGTTTTTGGACTCGGACCTGCTGCTGGTCCAGAAGGCCAGAGGTACCGGACAGGAGGCGGGTCCAGAGGGTGGACCGGCTCTGCTGGGTGGTGTGGCCCCCCCTGCCGGCGGCGCGCCTAACGCGGTGTGGGGGGGTTTGGGAGGGCGTTAAGCTGCAGCTGCAGGTGAGAAGCAGGGATCCTGGAGGGGCGGCCATCTTAGGTCAGACCAGGCTGCTGTCAGAGATCATATGCTTGAATAGAGACTAATCCTACTTTTTGATTTTAGACGCTCTGAATCCAATGAACTGATTTCCAGATAAACTGAAAACCAGGATGTTTCCATGGTTACAAGGAACCAACTGATTGATCTAATTTCCTGTTTTAATGCATCATTTACATTTTTATCGTACGACAAAGAATGAGGCCGAGGCTAGAGATTATTTTATTTTTACCTTGAGAATAAAGTCATGAAATTATGAGAATTTATTTGTTTTTTATGAAAAAGCTCTTTCTTCCCTAAAATGAGGAATGTGGAGCATCAAGTTCTACTTTAGCATCGGTTTGAAGAATCAGGAAATCTTTTAGCAGCAGCATCAAACTGGGCAGGAGGGCAAAGTGGACTCTGGTTGCTGATTGGTGGAGCTGGTTGGCCGTCATCTGCTGGGCGGAGCTCCAAGCTTTCTTTCAGGTTGTGGAATGATGACATCATTCTCCTTATTTCTCTCAGTTACTGTCAACAAGAGGTGAAGTTTGTAGCTGGACCATAAATGCAGAGACTGAGATGATTTAATGCAGCCGAAGTTCAGGACCAAAACTAGAGGAACAGCAAACCAGAGCTAGCAGGAGGTGATGAAGACATGAAGATCCAGCAGAGACAATCTGCAGAGGATTAATACGCTGAGGAGGAGAGTAGCAGGAGAAAGACTGGATAATGATCTGACCTGAGAAAGAACTAGAACAAAACCATGGAAGGGAGGCGACACTAGGGGGCGATGGAGAGCAGCTGGGAAATATCACCTAAAGATAACTGGAAACAATGAATGACAAAAATAAAACTAGAGCAAAGACTAGACTAGACTGAACAGGAGACGACTGAAAAAACAGCAAAGAGGAACAGAAAGACTGAGAAGTAATTCAACAAAGATAGAACATAAATTCAATCCTAACTGAAAAACCAAAGATCAACTAAACAGGTGAGAAAACTCAAAGTCCAAGATGGGAAAATAACAGTTTCTGCTTTTCTGGTGTTTAAAATGAAAATGATCAACCTGAATTCAAAGACACCCCAAAATGACAGTGAAAAAATGTCCATTTAGCTGATTTCATTGCAGCAACTCAAATGGTATTCAGTCCTTTGTATGCCCCCCCACGTGCGTGTCTGCATGCCTGACAACGTCGGGGCATGCTCCTAATGAGACGACGGATGGCGTCCTGGGGTATCTCCTCCAAGATCTGGACCAGGACATCACTGGACAGTCTGAGGTGCAGCCTGGCGGCGTGGCATGGATGGAGACATAATGTCCCAGAGGTGTTCTATAGGGTTAAGGTCAGGCGAGCGGGGGGGGGGGGGGGGGGGGGGGGGGCAATCAATGGCATCTATTCCTTCACTCTCGCCACATGAGGCCGGGCATTGTCGTGCACCAGGAGGAACCCAGGACCCACTGCACCAGCATAGGGTCTGAATGGGTGCAAGGATTTCATCCTGATCCCTAATGGCGGTCAGGGTGGTGTTGTCTAGCCTTGTTTGGTCAGAGACATTCACACCAGTGGCCTGCTGGAGGTCATTCTGTAGGGCTCTGGCAGTGCTCCTCCTGCTCCTCCTTGAACAAAGGAGCAGATAGCGGTCCTGCTGATGGGTTGTAGACCTTCTACGGCCCTGTCCAGCTCTCCTAGAGTAACTGCCTGCCTCCTGGAATCTCCTCCATGCTCCTGAGATTGTGCTGGGAGATGCAGCAAACCTTCTGGCAATGGCACATATTGATGCTCCATCCTGGAGGAGTTGGACTGCCTGTCAACCTCTGTAGGGTCCAGATAGCGCCTCATGCTAACAGTAGTGACAGTGACCCTAGCCAAATGCTAAACTGATATCCACTATTTTTTATTCTCTCACCGCTTTTCTCTATAACCTGTTAAACCAATTAGCTAATTGTCATGTTATAATCTACTGATTACTGACTGAAATATTTGGTTTGTTAGAGGAACTGCATGTTGATATTGCTGAGCAATATCTCATAGTGCACCCTGACTGCAGTGTCACTGATCTACCACTAGGGGAGATCTGTGCTAAAATTTACACACTTTTCCACGCACATGTTCACCTTGATAGCATTAGATGCTAAAGACTGTTTAAAATGACCTGTTGACTGCAGAGCCGTGTAGCTCCGCCCCTCCGTCCACCTCACACTGATTTATCTCCTCGGCCTCGTTAGGGATGCACAATACGGTTAGCATGATATCACTGCCGGCCTAGGGGTGGATATTAAAATATCTGCATCTATTCGTTAGCAAAGGCTGCAGGAAAGTTAGTCTTTATTTAGGAAATATGGATGTTGTGGTTTTTCCTGTTGGAACAGAGTAGACTGACCCTGAGGTTCCGATCCGCTTTCAGCCACCCCCCCCCTCAGGTTACACTGGTTATTACCTGGACACCCTTATTAACATCTGTATCAGCCGCTGTTGGCTTTAATCATCAATAATCGGGCATCACACTTCTATAAATCACTGATCTACCGTAGCTGGTGAGACCAAAACCGGAGGAAACCAGCAGCTTCAGCAGGAACTGATGCATGAGTCTGAGTCTGATGTTAGAAAATTCATCCTGCTTCAGAGATGCTAGCATACCTGCTAATAGCAATGAAAGTGTCCATGAAAATGAGTAAAATATCGCGATCAGTTATCGGCCAAATCTCAGATATTATGCATCCTTCCAATAAAATCACTGCTGAAATGATTCAAACATTCCTTTCTGTTCCTGCAGGATCGAGTCTCTGATTGAAGACCAGCCGCTAACTCGCCTCTCTTCCAGAAAAACTCTTTTATTTTGCTGTTAGAAATGTTTTATCCTGATGAGATTTCAGATATTTTAGATAAAGACGTTTGAATGGACCGTTTGCTTCGGTCAGTCTGCGTGGATCAAACATGTTAAAGCTGCAAAGGAAAGAGGCGGAATCCCTTCGTTAGCTACAGATAATGCATACATGTTTTATTGCTTGATGAAAACGATTCTGTACAGATTGTTTTACAAAGAGTCATCTTTAAATGCGATAACTTGTTTTATGGTGAAGTGATACGAACAAGCATTAAACGGTTTATAACAGGTGCTATCAAACAAAACTACTTACAAACTGAATGAAACGCTAACTGAACGCAGGCGGCGTTCCTCTTACGGCTCACAGTCAGAGTCCCCCCCCCCTGCTGGTCGGGTTCTGAGCAGGAACCGGCTCTGTGAAGCCGTGGGAACGCCGTACGGTGGACCGTACCGCCGTACGGTGGACCGCACCGCCGCGGTCAGACGGGCTCGGCGCTTCGGTTCCTCTGTCCGTCATCAGTAATACGAGCTCAGGTGGGAGTGAGCGGCCGGATGTCGGGTCATGGCCGACCCGGGGTAGATGGGGCTGTTGGCTGAGTTCCAGTAAGGGGACGGGGGGCCGAAAAAGTTCCCGGGTGAGACGGGCACGGGGCCAGGATGGCCGCCCATGAAGTTCATTTTGGGCTGGTGGCTGTGGTACGGTTGGACGTAGGACATCTCGCTCTGGTACTTGACGATCCCGCTCTCCGCCCCGTGGTTCTGGTGCGCCTGCGAGATGCCCTGGAAGTCGAACTTGTAGGCGTAGCGCTTGCCGTGCACCTTGGTCATGATGTTCTTGTCGTAGTAGTAGCGCAGGGCGCGGCTCAACTTGTCGTAGTTCATGTTGGGCTTGCTCTTGCGCTCGCCCCACCGCTTGGCTACCTCGTCCGGGTCGGTCATCTTGAACTCCCCGTTGGTTCCCTCCCAGGTGATGATGCCGGCGTTGTTGCTGTCGGACAGGAGCTCCAGCAGGAACTGCCACAGCTGGATCTGACCGGAACCTGCGGGGGAACGCAGAGCGTTAGAGTCGGACCTTCCGTCCCTGAAGCCCAAAGCAGAAGCTGAACGTTCAGACGAGCAGGAACCTCAGAACCTCGCTCCAGCAGAACCCAGATCGTTCAGGTCAGAGGGGTTTTATTTTAGCAAATGTGACCTTTTCACTGTGAGGCTTGGAGGAGGAGATGAGCAATAGGGCAGAAACCTACCCACAGGCCTGTGAGCGCTGGGGTCAGGCAGCTTGTACGGATTTTGTTTGCCTGTTCGGTTCTTGGTTGAGCCGAGGACTTGGCCTTCTGCGAGGAAACAGAAGGGCAAACAATCACTTTGGTGAGATGGAAGCCAGATTTAAGGTCCGCTGAATATTCCCTGTGACCTGGAAGCGTCAAAGCAGCCGCCATTACAGCGGCTTCATCTCCAGCAGCTCAGGAAACGCTGGATGGGACTGAAGAACAAAGCAGCAGCTGGAGGAGCTGAGAAGAAGCCGTTCAGGACTGAGGTCAGAACCGGGGGGGGTTTACCATCAGGCAATACTAGGCTGTTGTCTAGGGCCCCAAGTTCCTAAAGGGCCCCATAAAACTATGGTTAATACATATTGTTCCTTATTTGTGCATTAATTATATTTTTGATTAAAATCCTGTCAGGATGTTTATAATAAGCGTGAAAAAGCCTCATATAGTTCATCTAGCAGCAGCTGTTTCAGTTGATCATCTGATGAGGAATTTATTTATTTCTATTTCTCAGAAGTGTTTGATTAGGAAACTTGTTGATGGTCCCTAAAGGTTCTTGTTCTCCATTGATCTGATGCTGCTGAATTCTTTCTATATTGTGGAATTTTGAAAGAACTTTGTAAAGAAGAACCAGCATCATTAGAGCCGCGCGGGATTCTGCAGAGAACCGTTAACGTCAGTGCAGCACTAAAAAAAAAAGTTTTGACTCGTCAAAATAAACTTTGAGATATCTTGATTATTATTCTGGATGTTTAACACTTTAAATGATGAATCGTTTGACGTCATTATTGCAAAATGCATTTTAACTCATTATTTTCCCCAGACTTGATACCAGTTCAGATATCTTGATTATCGATAAGAAGCTGGGTCTGTTCTATGTGCTGTCTTCTCCATTCAGAGGGCCCCCTGCCTGTCTTTGCCTGGGGCCCCAGATTTCCTAGATGCGCCCCTGGTCAGCAGTTTGGGAATATTCAGCCGGACCCCTGGTCTCAGTGACCATCAGGTTGAATCATTCTACCAAAGCAGACAGTGTAAAGGCCTCATTTGTCTCATGTTAGTGTTTCGGTGTTTCCTGGTTCCGCCTTCTTACCTGGATTGGCCAATCGGCTGCTGATGGGCCCCAACGTCTGATACGGGTCTGCAGAGGACAAAGCAAGGTGTGTCACGCCTTCTCCTTCAGGCCTAAGAAACGCTTCCAGTTTGAGCAGAATCAGGAGGTAAACCCAGACCTCATCCTGCCGGCCTGACTGCTCATGGCTGAGTGTCCTTCAGGGACATGTTCCTGACTCTTTGACTCTTTTATTAACCTCTAACTGATGCAGAAACCTGAAGGTCTGTCCAGACATTCGTCTGCAGGCCGTGGTTCCCTCTAGTCAGACTCTGGACGTCTTTAAGTGGCCTTCTTCTTCTGAGGCTTTCCAGACTTTTCCTTGTTATTATTAGAGGATTGCTGGTTTTAAATATACGTCTGCATGCAGATCAATGTTCGGATGTTTTCCTTCAGTAAAAAAAAAGCAGCAGGGGAAGGAAGGAGCTGATCTGCATGGGGGGGGTGTATGTTTGGCCTTCTGCTCTGTTTAAACACCGTCTAGCACCACCTGCTGGATAGTCAGGAATGAACTGTAAAGATGATCACCTGGTGAACCCCCACCTGGCTCCATCCATCACAGCTGCTCATTTCTTGAGAGGGACCTCGCTGCAGAATAGGGCGGGACTGACCTTTCCGTCTGACTCATACCTTATATGGAAATGGGACTATTGTAGTAGATAGGGTGCAAGGATAGATAAATACTCCATAATGATTCCTTATTGGTGCTTATTTTAGATTGTTTGTTACTAATGTAATTTTAAATAAAGATTTCAAAATAAAAAAGAGACATACCATGTGACATGACACGTTTTTGTCATCCTTTACTTTTTGATTTGTATTTTTAATGTTAAAAGTGTCCTTGGGTGTTTTGAAAGGCGTTGTACAATAAAATATGTTATTATTATAATTATTATAACACGGCTGGTGCAGGAAATAGTGTCACTGGCGCCCCCCTTTATTTCCGGAATGCAATAGTCCCATTTCCATATAAGGTATGAGACAGACGGAAAGGTCAGTCCCGCCCCATTCTGCAGGCTGCAGCGAGGTGTACTTGCACTTCTTCACAATAAGTGAGTTTTAGTAAATCTGAGCTTGGAGACGTTCAGACGTCTTTGGGTAAATTCCTGACATTAGCCTGTTTTATTCACTTTTTAGTAGAACTTAACTTTGCATGCAGGTGAAGATTCTCAGTCATCCAGGTCAGAGTCAAGTTAAAATCAATCCTCTGGACTTTGTTTCCCAGTCTGAAGACGTTTCTCTTCCATCCAGGAAGATTTTTCAATCCAAAATGTCAGAAATAGCGTTTAGTTCCAGGTTTTATCCAGCAGCCCAACAAAGCCTGGTTTTAGTTTAGAAAACATGCAAATAGAAACGGATGAACGGGTCCCCCCCCCCCTTTCTCCAGTCCATCACAGGTCTGTGGACCGTTGGAGGAAGCCGGAGTACCTGGAGAGAACCCATGCATGCTCAGGGAGAACATGCAGACTCCATGCAGAAAGACCAGAGGAATCGGACCTAGAACCTTCTTGCTGCAAGGCAGCAGTGCTACCCACTGCCCCCCCCATGCAGCCTGGGCTTTTTTTCTTTCTCAGCAGATTTTAAAACTCAGCAGAAAGTTTCCTGTTTAGAGACTGAGACCGACTGGAGGAGGAAGGATGAGATGAACGAAGGAAATGGGGAATATGGCTGAGACGACGCACCTTGAATGATCCGCGGCGTTGGATCCGTCACCCTGCTGTTGTGTTGGTGCTCGATTGGAGAACCTGCAAACCAGAAGATGAGGTTGAAACTGTTCAGTTCGTGGCTGTGAAACCAGCTCGTCTTTATGCAAACTGGGCTCTGATGATGCGTGACCATCAGTTCCACCTATGGTCAGCGCTTGCTGTGCTACCTTTAGGCACCGCAGCCGTCATGGTGTTGGTCGGCCAGCTGTTCCTGCGGCTGATCTCGTCAAAACTGTTTTCTGCAGAAACACAAAGTAGAAAACATGGGATGAAACGGGCGTGTTTGAAGCGGAGGAAGGAAGCAGGCAGAGACGGAGACGACAGGAGTTTGGAGGTCTGAAGATGACCCGGCTTTCTTCTTGGGTGAGCATCCCTTTGTTTGGGGCCCTCAACAGATGGAGTGGATTGTGTCCCAGGAGCGGGACCCTTACCCCCGTTTCCTCTGCAAGTGCAGCTGTTTCCTGTCTGAAACTGGCTGTTGAGTTTTGGACTCATCATACTTGTCTGTCAACAGAAGTTGGTGTCGTGCAAAGGAGCCTTTCAGCCTGTAGACACCAAGTTTCTGAAACTCAACACGTTATTCTCAAACCTCTAAATCAATCGAAAAGGTTCCTTACAGTTTTATTTTCTCAGCAGACGGTGTGACTCACAGGAAACGGTGGCAGTTATGAAATGCACAAAGATCTTTGCATGAATTTGAATCGTGCAAAGGTTGAAGTAACCTGTTTCCCCTGTGAGGAAGCAGTCTTAGAAAATTCCCTCCAGCAGGTAAACGGAGGTGAGGAACGCCGATCTCCTTCAGCTCCTCCCTCAGGAGAACCTCCGGCTTCATCAACACGCTTTAAACCAGGCTGTAAATGTGAGACAAACTTCTTTGGCCTCTGAGACACATTTAAAGGAGCCATGCGTTTACAGGATGTTACTCATTCTGCTCACAAACGTGTGAAACTCACCACTGCTGGCATTTAGAGAAGAAACATTTTCACCTGACAGGTTGGTTTTTTTTCAGGGGACCATTGGCCTCCATCTCTTCCTGCCCAGTAGGTCCAACCCTCTCAGTGACCTCATTCATCATGCATCACCCCCCCCCCCCCGCCCCCCCCCCCCACCATGGATCACCCCCCCACCTGCTCTCTTCCTCAGGATGATTCATTCCAGGAGATTCCAGGCTGCAGAACATTTGATCTCATTTCCTCATTATAATAATCTGCTGTTTAATTTGTGGAAGAATTTAATTTAATAAAAAATAATATATTTTATTTTTTTACAGCAGCTAGAAAAGTTGAAAACAAAGATAATATTTCTCTGTTCCGGTTGTTTCTGATGTGAAAGAAATGAATGAGATTTGCCTGCTAATGAGGACATTCCAGAGGATCAGAGCAGGTTAGCTGGTTCCTTTCATTTAGGAAACATCTAAGGACATCTGGACCTCCAGGTCATTTAAAAAGATGGAACATTGGGAATGAATCCGAAGCAACGCGGAAATCCTTTAAATCAGGAATTAATTCAACCGCATTGGACCAAACATCCAGAGAAGGAAGAAAATGATGGACAGGAAGTAGTTCCTCAGCTGGAAACGACTGAACAACATGGAGACAAACACACATCCATGAGGGACACCACCATCAGCTGGGCCACACCCATCCATCCATTGTTCAACACGCTTACTCCCAAGTGGAAGGAAGCTGGAGTACCCAGAGAGAACCCATGCATGCTCAGGGAGAACATGGAAACTCCATGCAGAAAGACATTGGACCGGGAATCAAACCCAGAACCTTCTTGCTGCAAGGCAGCAGTGCTACCCACTGCACCCTCCTATTAGTGACCAGAGCTGCACAGGGTTGAATTATATGAAACTGGTTAAAGGAAAAGTCGCTCATATTCAGAATTCAAACTTCTGAAAGTTCTTTAAATCTGAAATGATTCCATCCTGTTCAATAAATGATCAGTGTTTTTAATTCAGAGTAATTTTCATGTGAATGTGCTTTACTGGAGGCATCCATGTTTGTCAAAGAACACTACTGCCACCTACTGGTTAGTGACATTGTCACGGTGCGGTATCGGCTGTTGATCAAGTCCCAGTGCTGTATCTGGTGTTTGTCACAACGCGCTATTATCCAAGTCATCTTGAAAACATTCTTCTTCCAAATGTTGGCTACATATTACGGGTTTTTTCTCTGGCCAGAAGTTCGATGGCAAATCCTCCCTCTTCAAGTTGGCGATCCAACGACCAACCCGTCCGTGGAGGATCAGGAATCAGAAAGGTGGAATAACTCTTTTTTTTTCACTTTTACCCGATGTATTCCAGCATCCAGCTGCCATGCACGTGGGCATTGTCAGTTTCACTATAGCTCTGGTGAATTTCAATGGTGAAGTCCTCTGGAAACCTTCAATAATTGTTGTTGATTGCAGATGTGTCTAGTAGTTCCCATTGATTTAGCTTGTAAAGCGGGGAGAATGGCGCTAGGCTTAGCGCACCGTGACGTCACTGCTGGAAGATGGCAGGAGGGAGGGGCTACTATATGTGGGCAAAAATGGCCGCTCCCAGACTCAGTGATCAGGACGAAAATTATTGTTTTATCTTTTTACTGATTAACATTAAATTAATTAAATCAACGCGAACGTAATTAGTTCCAAGTAATAAATAATGATCCATTGATTATTGATAATTGATTATTCCTCCTAAATATTCCTGCTGACCAACTTTTCCTTCAGTGAGCGGCGTCTCTTCAGCCTCTTGGCTGCATCCGTGTGATAAAAGTGAAAACCTCACCTGCTTTAACTTGTAGTCGTGGCTGTGGGGGTTGAGGGGGAGGGGTGTTGTTGGTGGGCGTCGTGGAGTAGGAGAAGGTGGGGCTACCTGAGGCGAAACCAGACGGAAGAGATAAAGGTTAGACTCTGTGAACACAGGGAAGAACGTCATGGAGAAAGTCCTTCCAGCCTCTGAGTCCGCAGACATCAGGTCGCTGTAGCTTAGCAGACGGTTCTGCAGCCTCAGCATTAGCGTTAGCATGACTAGCAGTGATTTATTAAAGCTCAATCAGCTGCATTAACTGTGAGGCGTGAGAAACCAAATTCATCATGAATGTGCAAATTTAAAAAGCTGATATCTGTGTTGGCAAAGACCACAGAGTTGTTTCAGTGCCGCGCTTAAATAAAGCTGCTGCTGCTGCAGACATCTTCACACTTTGGTTTAATGTCAATTCAGTTTCTCTCACTTATTCAATCAAAGACTCTTAGATTAAATTTTGCATCGGGTTCAATAATTATGTTGCCAAATGAAATCCTGAATCCTACTCAAATAAAAACCAAACGATGCGCAGCAGCGTCCGGTGGAGGAGGAGCTGCCGCGGCGAGGAGGCGTCCTTACTCTGGCGGAGGTAATTCAGGTGAGACAGAAGGATGTCTGCGTTGTAGGCCGACGTCAGCCGCATCATGTCGTCTTTGCTCATCTTGCACAGGGCCTTTCCGTCCAGCGCCTGGAAGAGAGAGACGTCCACCTCTTCCAGGACGTACTCCTTAATGGCCCAGTCCAACCACTGCCTCACGTGGTCCTGGGTCCAGACCTCCGGATCTGGAATCAGAGACAGAAAAGCATAAACTGGAGGACTTCCTGTTTCAGACAACGGAACGCTCAGCTGGGATCATCTAAAACGTAAATATCTTACTGTAGGAGAATAACAAAACAAAGGAAAATAAAAGATGGCGTCACGAAGAGGAGCAACTATCTAAACACGATTAATCTTCAGGACATGAAAGTGAACAAACCAACGAGAAGCAGGATAACCGATCCTATAGGCGCCGCTGAAGGGATCTGTTAGGTCAGAGTCATTCAAAAAAAAACTTAGTTTCCAGGTTTAAAGACGTTTCTCTTCCATCCAGGAAGATTTTTCAATTCAAATGTCAGAAATAGCCTTTAGTTCCAGGTTTTGAATTTGGAAACAACGTCCAGGATTGTTTTTATGGTCATCCCTACAGGCCACGCCTCTTACGCCAAACCAAACAGGTTTACATACAGTCCCTGACATCGGGCGTTATGAGGATGTTACCATGACGACTAGGGGGGAAAAAGGGCCTCCTGCCACCAGTTAAACATGGTGATGGCAGTATGATGTTCTGGGGCTGCTGAAAGTGGCGCCGCTCTCTGACAGGAAGTCCTGGAGGACCACATCCCACCTGCAGCCTGAAGCTTCAGCTCATCTGGTCAGAAGTCCATCATTGAAGCAGGTTCAGATCAGAGGATGACGACGTTAGCAAACACTAAGAACTGCTGGCAGGGTCAGAGGTCAATGCTTTGCTACATGGGAACTGGTTAGTCTGGAGCTTCTCTTCCTTATTAAATCAAATCAATAAATGGGTCCCTCTGGATACCTGGGGCCAGGATCATATCTCTATCTATCCAGGGGCCCGTAGGGTGAGTCTGGGGCCCCCATACCTGCTGTTAAGCATATTTACCTTCTGAAGAAGCTTTCTTCATCCTTTATGTTCCACCATGCATCCAGACCAGGAGTTCATGGATTCTCTCTGATACTAAACACTGAGCTGCAGCTGCAGATATAAACCATCCTGATTAACACTGTGGAATCATCACAGGTTTTCCTTCCAATTCCATTCTATTCAGTGTATTTCTATAGCTCCAATTCACATCATGTCATCTCAGGTCACTTTCCAGTTCACCAGATCATCCAGTCAGATTGATTCAAAGTTTTCTATCTAAGGAAAACCAGCTGATTGCATCGACTCATTGACTCTTCAGCAATCCCTCACACTAAGCATGCTTGTAGTGACAGTGGAGAGGAAAAACTCCCTTTGAACAGGAAGAAACCTCCAGCAGAACCAGGCTCAGTAGCAAACACTGCAAAAACGATCTGAAAATAAGTAAACATTTCTTAAATGAAGGTTATTTACCATTAATTTGAGCAGGTAAATAAGATAAGTAGTTTTATTCTTAAAATAAGATACTTAGATAACATGAACTAGAAATAAGATGATGCAATAGTTTTTCCTTATTTCAAATGTAAATTGTGTGTCTAACTTACCTCCTCAATTCAAGACGTACTTATTTAAAGAAAAATTACTTATTTAGATTAATTTTTTTTGCAGTGAGATCAGAGGGAAACCTGCTGCTCTGGAAGTTTCTCTGATCTTTACTCTGGTTCTCTGTTGTCGTCTCATCCAGGGGTGAAAGCAGACTTCTGGACTTACTCTAGATCTTCTGTGTCTATTCCTGCTGTTTTATTTCTCTCTCTCTCTCTCCCTGTACTTCTCATCCCTTCTTTCTCTCTCACCTTCCTTTCTGCCTCCATTCTATATGATTTTACTCCTTAAATCATAAAATTTCATCTAGACGTATCAATCAGAACTTTATGGAATGGTCATTCTGTAGCTGTGGGACATCTATCCCACAGCTAGAGTTGCAAAAAAACAAAAAAAACAACAAAAAAAAAACACATCATTTGATTTAATTCAACATTAATTTGTTGCAAAAAAGAAGGAAAAACAGGAGAAATCAGTTTTTAAGGGTGTGAATTCATTCATAGAACCATAACTGCATGAGAGATAACTAACGCTGCTACTCATCATCATCATCATCATCACCATCATCATCATCAGCATCATCATCATCAGGAATGACGATGAATATTTCCAGTCTGATTGTGGTTTCCAGCAGCGAACAATGAGCTCGCCATGTGATCAGCCGTAAACCTCGCCACTCCCTGCCTGCTGATTGTTCTCACTAAACGCCTCCCTGATGCAGCATCCGGGTATTATGGAGCAGAAGAACGCGGCCTGTGACTCAACGCGGCAGCCGATCCTTTAAACACCTGAGGAGGAGGGGGGGGCGACTGAAGGGAAGGAGGGCGGGAATACTTTTAGGAAGTTGGTCAGAACCCAGACGCCAAAGAACGTCCAGAACCTCTGATGAAGCCTCCATGTTTATGGAGTAACATCTGATGTTAAAATGATCGAAAAAAGAATAAATAATCCGTTAATCTTTATAGATTAAAAACAAACTGAAGACTTTGAAAAGGTTCCCATTTCTCTGACTACTTTTCCACCTAAACTTTAATTCTTTGGTTTATTTATTGAGGACCTCACATTGATGACCTCACATTGATGACCTCACATTGATGACCTCACATGGACCAGGAAGTGAGGATCTCCACTTCAAAGCAAACCTGGAAGAGGACGTCCAGCCAGGCGGCGAGGCGGAGCCGCAGCGCTGCAGCATCACGCTCTAAATACATGCAAACAGGCGCTGCGACATCAGCTGACCTGCTGTGATGTCATCAGAAGCAGAAGTCTCCTGGTTGATTTCATCACTGACCAGGCGGCCTCGTGATAACCCACAACTGAAAGGCTCATTTCACAACCCAGCCTGATGACTGCTGGTTAGCGGAACCCATTCAGCAGCACCCGTCTGACGGCACGAAGTAGGTGACAAGATCTCAAAAAGCACCACATGCTTCTCTGATCTAAAGACCTTCAGGAGCCTCTGAGCTCCATCAGTCTGGGAAGATGTTCCAGAACAACGGCGAGGCTCTGGGAGAAGCATGAGCATCAGGAGGAGAACGCAGAGAACATTGGAGAACCAACCCAGGAGAGGCTGACCTACAGAAATCACTCCCAGAGGACATCACAGACTCATCCTGGAGGTCAGAGAGGAACATCTACAGCTCTGCTGGCCTCCCAGAGTTTCATCTGGACAGAGGTCAGGGGTCAACTCTGAGAACCCAAAACGTCCAGATGATCACCAGGACGTTCTGCTCCTTCATTCCGAGCATCAGCGGCGCTCCTGTCATGGTGGAGCTGCTTTGCTTCTGCAGGAGCTGGACGACAAGCAGGAGGTCATGAATCTACGACCTTCTCCTCCACATCCAGAGAAATTCTGTTTGAGGCCAAAAACTCAGACTTGGATCCTTCAGCAGGAAAATGACCCCAAAGATTCCAGAAAGATCAGGGATCCGTTTGACGAAGCAGGTTTACGGAAAACTCTCAGTTTTCTAAACCAGAAATCAGAGAAACTCTGAGTTCCACCAAGAGACTTTCCTCACCCTCTGTTGCCATAGTAACATCCTCCCAGAGCTAACCTGGTGAGCAGCAGGTTTTCCTCGCTCTGCTCAGTTTTATTTCCAGTTTTTTGTAGTTTTGTGAGAATAATAAAACTAAAACCATTTATTATAATTAGCTTTAAAAACAAACATCCAATTAAAGGATGATCGACTTTAATTCGCAGAGAATTAGATATTTAAAGGGAGCGGATTCTCAGAGCGCCGCTCCACCGTTTCACCTCCTAACCCATCCCAGACATCCAGACCTGATCCGTCTTCATTAGCAGGATTCTGGACTTCTTTACCAGAACTGGATTAAATCAGGGAGAGAACATTGATAACAGCATCATAGAAAACTACTGCATAGACAGACACTGAGTATTAACTGGAAGACAGGGTCAACATGAGGAGGAACCCATGAGATGATGAACAGGTCCCACCTGATAGAACAACGGTTTTATTCACCTGCTGACAGATGATTTCCTCTAAATAGATCCATTGATCCACTACCATTCAGGAAATAAACCCATAATGTCTATAGTGATAACTACAGCCTATGGCAAGCCGTTTGATATATATTAGTTTGACTGAATATGTAGTTCTGATATCATAAGTCTATTTTTTTTCCTCGTCAAAATGAAAACTTGAAAAACAAATTTACATTCTAGACATCTAGAATAAATATTCTGGATGTCTAGAAATTAATTTCAGATTTCCATATTCCTTTTGTCGCTGGTCAGTATTTGTATTATTTTATCGATGAAGAAATGTTTTCCAGATATAAATACATTTTCAGTCAAGCTGATAAATGTCAAAACAGCTCCTTAAAATGTGGAAACATTTCTAACTTTAGGGATCTAAAACAGAGATGTCATAAATGTTAAAACAGCTTGCCATAGGTAACTTCGTCTTCACCTAAACATTAACTCCATCAACGTTCTTCTCTATCTTCTCCTTTGCAGCTGTAGAGCTTTTTCTCTGTCTTTTAAACACATTCTCCTTTTTTCTAGCATTTCTGGATTTAAATCTCTAGGTCCAATGGGGTGAAATAGGCACTTCCTGTTGCCTGTTGTCATGGTGACTCGTTGACTTTTCATCCGTGTTGCTGTTAAACCTACTTAGAGCTGATTGAACTAATTCATAGCAGCTTTTATAAAACTAAAAAGTCAGAGTTCCCGACTTTAAGCTAAACTGACTCAGAGTTTAGGATTTGAGTCTGACTTTGTTAAACCTGCTCTGTGAAACTGGCCTCGCCTCTGAAGTTACCATTTAAACCAGTAAAACTAAAGGTTTCCCAGTTAAAGTTTTTTTTAGGTCTAGTTTATCCAGAGCGACATCAAAGTTATCAGATCTGAATTTGGTTTGATCCTGGACTCCATCAGGAAAACGCTGCAGCAGGATCTAATCCAGGACTAACACACCTGGAAACGTCTTTTCCTCCAGAGCGGTGAACGCTAGCGCCCCCTGCAGGGAAGCCTCCAGCCATGCAGTGTGAGCTGGACTGGATTCTGATCGTTTATTTCAGGTCAGAGTGTGTGTCTGACTGAGGGTGGATCCGTCTGAATGTGGCAGAAATAAATCAGCAGGAAGGAGAGTTTGAGTTTCCTGTGGATCAGAGAACTGATCCTAAGGAAGCATCAGATTAAGATTATTCAGATATTTTCTATTCAGAGGTGAAAAGGGAAGCTGGGGAGATTAGAGCACCAGTGACCACAGCTGCTGACCACAGAGCTCTCTGAGCCAGACGGACCTTCTACAGGTGTTAGCTGGAGCTCCTGGCATCACGCTGCGGCAGTTTGAAGGAGAGGAAAGCTGCTGCTTTGGGGGATCGTCTGGGATTCAGCGCTCCGTGTTGCATAAGAGGAGCTGACTGCCAGCTGCCAGGAAACAGCCACTGACGGAGGACGGCGCCTCATGTGACACTCATGCTGGCCTCACCTGCTGGGACGATGACCCTCTTCTCCTCGCTGGGGTTGGTGCTGGGTGGGGTGGCGGTCTGGGGGCTGACCCGGGGCTCCGGGTAGGAGGCCTGGTAGGGCAGGGGGGCCCCGTCGTTGCTCACGTGTCGGGAACGTTTGGAGACGCTGCAGTCCACTGGAGACCCCCGGCTGAAACAAACAGAGGGACACTGAGCACCCGGACAGCTGAGGGGGGGTCACTGTGTATAACAGAGGGACACTGAGCACCCTGACAGCGGAGGGGGGGTCACTGTGTCAAACAGAGGGACACTGAGCACCCTGACAGCGGAGGGGGGGTTACTGTGTCAAACAGAGGGACACTAAGCACCCGGACAGCGTAGGGGGGGGTCACTGTGTCAAACAGAGGGACACTGAGCACCCGGATAGGGGAGGGGGGGTCCCTGTGTCTCTAATCTCTGACAGCAGAGAGGATTTTGCAACATTACAGCGTTTCCTGTTGCAGTTTTATCTGTTGGTGACGGGAGATAAAACGAGTCTCTATCTGAATAAAAGTTTTCCACTGAGAAGCAGCTGCATGTTCTCCTCCATGACCCCCTCTGTGTTTGGAGCCCAGTCTCCGCTGGTTTCTCAGGTGTTTGGACAGAGACCTTTCCATCAGATCCTCTGCTCAGGTACAGCAGACGTCTCATTTTAACAGGATCAACCATTTGATCAAAACAGGTTTTCAGAGATCTGAAGTTTGCTGTTTGAATAATAAATGAATGAAGTCGTTAACAAACAGGCGGTAAACAGGTTGTCTAATGAAGGAGGGTCTGTGGACGTTAGAACTTCCTCCCTAACATCTACTGCTTCAGCTCGGGGTAAAAAAAGGACAAAGAAACAATCGGAGCGGCAGGTCTGGGAACCCCACCCCAATCTGAGAACCCCCACCCCCAGACTCACCTGCTTCCGTTGACTTGGTCGGCTCTCTTTCCAGGATTTTGTGCCGCTGACCCCCCCCAGTCCGACTCGGTGTGCTCGGGACTCGGCTTGGAGGCCTGGCTGAAACCTCCAGGAGACGTCATCTCAGTCTTCATGTGCATGGTGGGCGCTGCTGGGAAGGCCGGCTCGAATATGGGCTGGTCTTCACTCACCACAGAAAGAGCTTCCTGTCCAACACGGAGAAGACAGACGGTTAGGTCCACAGAGACCACAAGGTCCAAGGAGACCTGGACATTCCACAGAGACCTGCAGGTTCAAGGAGACCTGCACGTCCACAGAGACCTTCCTAAGTAGCCGATATCGGAGCCGATATCCGATGCCGGTATCTGATTGGTGCATCTCTCCATACTTTAGTAACTTTAAAATAATTTAATTTAATAAAACCTTTTCTTGCTGAAATTTGTTGAATAAAAACAGTTTCACATTTTCCATTTCTGACATTTAAATAAAAAGTTTCTGCTAAAGATTAAAAACAGGAGTTAGTGAATCAGCTGCGACCTGGACACTGCAGCGAGCGTTCTCATTGGTTGCTGTGACGGAAAGGAACTTCCTGTTGAGAGGCGGACCAATGAGAGCCTGTGTTTTATTGAATAAAGGCGGGGCACCAGCGGCCCGTCTGTTACTGAGGGAATCGACCCCCTGAAGGGTGCAGTGAACCGGATCCTCTCAGCTGTCAGAAGCCAAGCGGACGTCTTCACGGCGTGGAATGTTTCAGGTCATCCAACGTCCAACCAGCAGGTTCTACCTGCAGAACATCTGAACGTGAATCTGACCGTTTTATTCCACATGTTGGTCCTTTTTTCAGTCTTTAGATGCGAATCTGTTTTCATCCTCTGAGTTTATCCAGAAACGTTTGGAGGCGTCAGAGAGTCACTGCTGCAGGACATTAGCAGAGTCCCAGTTTCTGAGACTCCAGCTGGAATCCTCACCAACCTGACCTCAGAGTCCAAGATGGCGGTTCATGTGGATCCAGGCTGGTTCTAAAGGATCACATCCTGTTTGGTTTTAGCGCTAATAGCATTTAGCTTTGTCTTCCAGTCCAACCATTTGCTGATTCCATATTTGACAGATTTAGTTGGACGTTCGCTCAGACTGAGCCTCCTGACGCTGATGGTGGGACGCGGCGTCTGCAGCCTGCACTGCGCTGGAACCCCAGCAGCACACGGACATGGGGGTGTAGAGGTGGATCCCGTTACGTCCCTGAGCAGGACCCGCTCCTCCTTTGGTTGGTTTATTCAAGCTAACACGGAACTCCTCATTTCTTCTGCATGAAGTTTCACTTCCATTCCAAGATGGACGTCATTTGACCTCCATTTATTTGATGGGTCGCCGAAACGTCAGCGGGCATTACTGGGTTCTGGGTTTGGGTCGGGGATAAAGCAGCCAATCAGGGTCCTCTATAGAACCCGCAGCGTTCTGCAGGATTCACTGAGGAAACCAAACATTTGCAGATTTATTTTAACATCTTTCTGCTGTTAACCGTCTGTAAAAACAAACGAAAGCTGTTTTTCTTTTCATGGCCTTAAACTGAACCGGTTGGTTTGATTTTCACACCCTGAACCAACCAGGATGAACCTGAAACCAGAAGCGGGTCTGTTGGACTCGGGGAGGAACCGCACCCCCGACACCATGGAGCTCTCTGTTCCTGCTGGAGAAACAGTCGCATCACAAACCTGAATGTTGAAGAATTCATTTGCAGAAACGGATTATTTATCTTATAACTCAGAAATGTTTAGTTTCACAAAGTCTAATTCTGTGACAAAACGTTTAAACGTTTATCTGAATGATTGGTGAATTAATTAAGCATAAATTTAAAAAGAACAATTTCACGGTAATAAGAAAATATTTGTGCAGTTTTAGGCTCTAATGGCGGCTGATGGATGCGGCGTCATAATTAATCGTTACTCAATCATATGATTAATACAGTTTATTAGTTTTATTATTTTACTCACAGGATATAAAAGGCCAATCCAGCTCACAGTAAAGAAATTATAACAAATTATTAAAAACTGTTTGCAAATAAAAACTTTAGATTCTAAAATGTTTTCAGTTTTTTGATGAACTATTTATATTAAACTGAAATCTAAAGTCTAAAAAATAAATCCTGATAATTTTTGATCTGAGGTTTATGATTTTAAAACACTGCTGAAAGTTTGAGTTCTGGTTAAAAACTGTTTTCTGTGGATCTAATGGGTCCGGTCCGTCCACACCGGTTCTGAACCGGTTCTGAACCGCTTCAGAACCGGTTCAGAACCAGTTCAGAACCGGTTCAGAAGCGGTTCAGAAGCGGTTCTGAACCGCTTCTGAACCGCTTCAGAAGCAGTTCAGAACCCGTTCAGAACCAGTTCAGAACGGGTTCTGAAGCAGTTCTGAAGCGGTTCTGAACTGGTTCTGAAGCGGTTCTAAACTGGTTCTGAACTGGTTCTGAACCGCTTCTGAACTGGTTCTGAAGCGCTTCAGAACCGGTTCTGAAATGGTTCTGAACCGGTTCTGAAGCGGTTCTGAACCGCTTCAGAACCGGTTCAGAACCAGTTCAGAACCGGTTCAGAACGGGTTCTGAAGCAGTTCTGAAGCGGTTCTGAACTGGTTCTGAAGCGGTTCTGAACTGGTTCTGAACTGGTTCTGAACCGCTTCTGAACTGGTTCTGAAGCGCTTCAGAACCGGTTCTGAAATGGTTCTGAACCGGTTCTGAACTGGTTCTGAAGCGCTTCAGACCCGGTTCTGAAAGGGTTCTGAACCGGTTCTGAAGCGATTCTGAACTGGTTCTGAAGCGGTTTTGAAGCGGTTCAGAACCAGATCTGAACTGGTTTTGAAGTGGTTTTGAAGTGGTTCTGAAGCGGTTCCTCCCATTTTACAGGTTCTGTTTTCTGAAAAGAACCGACGGCTTTCAGAACTTTGTGAATCTGTTGGTTCTGTGACAGGAGGACCGGGATGAACCTAATCTGGATGGAATGGACTCCCCACAGCAGGTCCAGGATCAGACCCAGCCTGGGTTCTCCTGGTGACCTGGACTCTCTCCAGGTACTCCTGCTTCCTCCCAGGTTCAGGAGTGAGAGCGTGCGTGGCGGTCTCTGTGGAGCCTGTCCATGTGGGCGGGGCGCCGCGGACCGCCGGCCCTCCATCAACCATTAATCAGCCTTTATTGCAGCTTGAATCTAAAACTGCTAGCAGTGGATGACGTGCAGCCGCGGTGTTAGCGTAGCTCTCTTTGCTTTGCAGAGAAAATGCAGGTTAGAAGCTGAACTTTGCTGCATGTTGAGGTTAAACTGGTGGAGCTGCTAAAGAAAAACTGCAAAGTGAGAATCTGAGTGTTCAGAAATAGCGTGAAGGCAGCCTGGAGGTGTGCTTATCTCACATGACATCAGTAACCTTAACCACAGTTTGATTCAGTCGTTAGGATGGGGGTTGCTGTGGGGGAGGGGTGCTAGCTGGAGCCTTCCTGTGTTCCTCTGAACGCCGCGGCCTAAGATGGCACTTCCAGCCGCGCTCTGAATCCACCGGCCTGTTGTTCTGGTCTGCTCCTTTAAATGAAGTGCGTGCGTGAGCGCCCCAAACAAGCGGGGGGGGGGGGCAACGCGTGTTTGTTTAGAGGAGCGGAGCATTGTCTTCGGGCCTCGTACGTCAGCGCCGTGCTTTTTCAGTGGCCTACAGGAAACAGGGCCGCCATGTGCACAGGAACCTTTTGGCACAGGCCGAGGGAGAGGAAATGGTGGAGCTTGGGGGGGCAGGGAGGGGCGGAGTGCGAATATGGGTCATTTTAGAGCTGGAAAACAACCCTGTAGAGGGAGGGGGGGTCAGCGGACAGAGCAGACGTGCTTGAAGTGCCGCCGTGGCATTGTTCTCTCTTTGTGTTGATCTGTTTCAGCTCTAATGCTTCTGCTCCTGTCACACCTTAACCATTTAGACCAGCGTACGCCTGACAGACCAAACATCTGGCAAACATCAGCCAAAAACTCTGGCATGGATACGTTATGGGTCTGTTTAGTATAAGTTATGAGAATGGCGGCAACCGTCGAAATACGGCGAATGCCAGCGTCCGCCATCCGTGGTCCATCAGTTCCAGGTCAGTTATCTGATGGTCGACATCCGTTCAGTGTCAGTTCCTCATCAGTCGTGGCGTCTAGCTGATCCTAAACCTCTGACTAACTTATCCAGAGCTTCTCTCCAACATATCAGCGTATCTGCCGTGTTCCAGACGAGCGCTGAACGTGTTTCTAACTTCTAGCTACTGTATAATGGCGTATTGGCAGCGTTTTGGTATAAAGGGGGTTCACAGGAGGAAACCGTCAGTTCTCCTCCAGACTTCATCCCCATCATAGGGTGAGCCAGAAGGTGAGTGATGGATCCTCCCTGCGTTCACGCCCACCAACAACTTTTGGCGGGCGGTAAACAGCAGCTAGGTTAATACCGCCATCAAAGATCTTTTTCTGCAGGCCGGGCTCATCGCTGCCCCCCTCAGGTCACTGTGCATCACTTCCTGGGCATCACGCTGCCGAAGCTGCAGAAGTTAGGCTGTCGTTGGACAGAAGTTCTGGACTCGTTATGAATCCTCTATTCGCCCAAAATAGAAACAATCCATGGAAAGTTCAGGAGGTTCTGAGACGTCAGATAAATCAGTAAGGTTTGATTTATAGCATGTTGCTCTGCTGTTGCTGCTCTGTTGTTGTTGCCCTGTTGCTGCTCTGTTGCTGCTCTGTTGCTGCTCTGCTGTTGTTGCCCTGTTGCTGCTCTGTTGCTGCTCTGCTGTTGTTGCCCTGTTGCTGCTCTGTTGCTGCTCTGCTGTTGTTGCCCTGTTGCTGCTCTGTTGCTGCTCTGCTGTTGCTGCTCTGTTGCTGCTCTGCTGTTGTTGCCCTGTTGCTGCTCTGTTGCTGCTCTGCTGTTGTTGCCCTGTTGTTGCCCTGTTGCTGCTCTGTTGCTGCTCTGCTGTTGTTGCCCTGTTGCTGCTCTGTTGCTGCTGTTCTGTTGTTGCTCTGTTGCTGCTCTGTTGCTGCTCTGCTGTTGCTGCTCTGTTGTTGTTGCCCTGTTGCTGCTCTGTTGCTGCTCTGTTGCTGCTCTGCTGTTGTTGCCCTGTTGCTGCTCTGTTGCTGCTCTGCTGCTGCCCTGATGCTGCTATGTTGCTGCTGTTCTGTTGTTGCTCTGTTGCTGCTATGTTGCTGCTCTGCTGTTGTTGCCCTGTTGCTGCTCTGTTGCTGCTCTGCTGTTGCTGCTCTGCTGCTGCCCTGATGCTGCTATGTTGCTGCTGTTCTGTTGCTGCTCTGTTGCTGCTCTGCTGTTGCTGCTCTGCTGTTGCCCTGTTGCTGCTCTGTTGCTGCCCTGCTGCTGCTCTGCTGCTGCTGTTCTGTTGCTGCTCTGTTGCTGCTCTGCTGCTGCTCTGTTGCTGCTATGTTGCTGCTCTGCTGTTGCTGCTCTGTTGCTGCTATGTTGCTGCTCTGCTGTTGCTGCTCTGTTGCTGCTATGTTGCTGTTCTGTTGCTGCTATGTTGCTGCTCTGCTGTTGCTGCTCTGCTGTTGCTGCTCTGCTGTTGCTGCTCTGTTGCTGCTATGTTGCTGCTCTGATGCTGCTATGTTGCTGCTCTGCTGCTGCTCTGTTGCTGCTGTTCTGTTGTTGCTCTGTTGCTGCTCTGCTGTTGCTCTGCTGTTGCTGCTCTGCTGTTGCTGCTCTGCTGTTGCTGCTCTGCTGTTGCTCTGCTGTTGCTGCTCTGCTGTTGCTGCTCTGTTGCTGCTATGTTGCTGCTCTGATGCTGCTATGTTGCTGCTCTGCTGCTGCTCTGCTGTTGCTGCTCTGCTGTTGCTGCTCTGCTGCTGCTCTGCGGTTGCTGCTCTGCTGTTGCTGCTCTGTTGCTGCTATGTTGCTGCTCTGATGCTGCTATGTTGCTGCTCTGCTGCTGCTCTGCTGTTGCTGCTCTGCTGTTGCTGCTCTGCTGCTGCTCTGCGGTTGCTGCTCTGCTGCTGCTCTGTTGCTGCTGTTCTGTTGTTGCTCTGTTGCTGCTCTGCTGTTGCTCTGCTGTTGCTGCTCTGCTGTTGCTCTGCTGTTGCTGCTCTGCTGTTGCTCTGCTGTTGCTGCTCTGCTGTTGCGGCTCTGCTGTTGCTGCTCTGCTGTTGCTCTGCTGTTGCTGCTCTGCTGTTGCTGCTCTGTTGCTGCTATGTTGCTGCTCTGCTGCTGCTCTGCGGTTGCTGCTCTGCTGTTGCTCTGCTGTTGCTGCTCTGCTGTTGCTGCTCTGCTGCTGCTCTGCGGTTGCTGCTCTGCTGTTGCTCTGCTGTTGCTGCAGGGCAGCAAAGTATCTGCATCTTCAACCAAACATGCTGCTCCAATCAGCTGCTCGCTGTGGAGGCAGAGCTCCATCACGTCTCTATTGGTGACTGATGTTGGGCAGCAGATAGATTGACCCATCTGAGCTGAGGATCCCTGCAGCTCCTCCAGAGTCCTCTGCTCCTCCTCTCAGTGCTCTCCCTGTCCAGCCCAGAGGGCCTCTCTGTTCTAAAACCTGACCTGCTGCAGACTCCGGCCTGCTGGGCGTCTCTGTTTTCATGAGGACATTTTTTCTCCAATGTCCCTCAGAGATGCAGGACAAACTTTGAACCTTTGAACTTTTGGTTTGGCCGTCTGTGTAGAAACCTGATAACCTGATTCATTAGAACCCCCCCCCCCCCCCCCCCTCAGGTGGAGCAGGTTGTCCTCTACCTGAATGAGCCCCCCCTCCTGTGGCTCCAGGTGAGACTCTGATCCATGCGGCCTGTTTTCTGAACTCTGGATTTCTAACAAGCACCAAGTTTGTTGGGCTGCTTGCGGTTTGTTTTTCTTTCTGCTGATGCATGAGGCTTTCTCTCTGCAGAACCGCGTTACTCTGTGCAGAAGTGAAACTCCGGCCTGAAGGCGGGATTAAAACTGACTTCTGACACCAAACTCCCACCAGAATAGTGAAAAGTTGAGCCTTTTCTTTGACTCCCGCTGGTATTGTGCAGTCCTGGTGTTGCACGTTGAGGTGGGTCATAAGGCTGTGCAACGTTGATCTGCTGCGCGCTGCGTCTCTCTGCACACTGATACAAATATACCAAACTGTGGCCTGACCGCCGATGCCACAACTGACTTCCTGTTCAATGTTTCAGCCTGTTGCTCAGTGACACAAAACAACTTTTTAAAAAACATGACCCTGTTGAAGCAGATGCTGATGTCCTAAAAATGATGCGCGCCTGCAGCTGAACGCTCTTCACCTGCTGCTGCACAAACAGCCAGTCCTGTGGAAACTTTCCAAACATGGCTGACTGCAGCTCTGCAGGTTGCATCACTGTGAAGGTGATGGCAGGCTGCTCCCTCATGCAGATGGCTGCCTCCTTTCACAGAATAACGGCACAGATAAGCAGATCATGTCAGCAGCTCTTCCTGCTCATCAGGGATTAATGAGCAACAAACCAGCAGTTTGAAAATCACAAACCATCAGTTATTACAACCATTTATCTTCTGACTGAGAGGAAATGTTAGAATAATTAAAAATAACCTTCGAACTAAAAGCTGGAATAAAAAGTTTCTGATTCATTGAGATGATTTAACAGAAGAAAAACACAACAAACCAGATTAACTCTAATTTCTCTCATTAAATCTGATATTTTCATCTTTATTCCTTATTTTTCACTTTGAAACTATTTTTTTAGCGTTTAAAGATCAACTAAATGTGATTTTCCTCCTTTCACCAATTTATTAAACCAATAAAAACGCTTTCAATAAAAAAAAAGGTTTATTTTTTCAGTAAAGTAACATAAACTAATATTTATTCAATAATCAGACAAAAAACGGATCATTTAAAAAACGAACTTTGTTTTCAGGCTGTTGAATAAAGAGCTAAAATAAAAGGTTTTAAAATAAGAAGCGAGTGAAATGTGTTTGTAGAAGTTGTGAGTAAAGGAAGGACTTCCTGAGCCTGGAGCTCAGTCTGTGGTTCAAACCGCAGCGGATCCATCAGTTTGTGACACATTTTAGGTCAACATGTCTTTTCTTTTCTCCTCTGAAGCGCAGCGACGTTTAACTGAAATAAATCAAGCTAAAAATAAAATGTCCTTTAAAATCCGTTTTAATGAGAAGCTCGTTTGAGGAATTTGGTTTTTCTGGTTTTCCTCGTTTTTGTAGAAACTTAAAGTTTCTATTGTTTTTATTAATTTTATTTATCCGAGCTTCTCATTATTTTATTTAAAAGCAGATTTAAAATGTTTGACCTGTTAGATTATTTTATAAACATGAAATAATTGGGAGTGAACCAGAAGCAGAGGATTGTGTAAAGGCGCAAAAAGCAGAAGTAAAAGCTGCACGAGCTGAGTGTGCAAAAGGCCTGAGCGGCTTTCTGCGGCCTTTTCTCTGCGGGATCTTCTCTGCGGGGTTTTCTCTGCGGGGCCTCAACAGGCCCGCTCCGTCCAGCCGCTCCCTCTGCGCGGCCTTTGTTGCCTTTCTGATTTTTTGTGTGGCTCTTCTGGGTCCAGAGAGCGGAAATGTGTGCGGAAAGTCTGAGGTTTGAGACAGGAAGCCTGCAGAGTTCAGATAACGACACCTGACAAGCGCTCCAGTTTGCAGCCATAAATTCTTCTTAAAATAACCCGCAAACAATCCGCAGCGCAGGAGAAAAATCATCTGGAAAATAATGATTAACCTTCATGAGCCGCTCATCCAGAACAGAAATGATCAGCAGCAAGAAAACTAGAAACCATTAAAATTATAGTTCCTCAATCCGAGGAACTTATTTTTATTAAAAAAGAATAAATTCATCTTCTGGTTTTACACAAAAATAGAAACACGTTTAAAATATTCTTCGTTAACCAAATAAAGTCATCTAAATTATTAAAAACCGTAAAATAATAAATTTAATTTAAAAATAATGACTTAAAAAAACAACGTTTTTTTTTCAAAACAGAAAATAAAATTAATAATTTCTCTTCCTGCTTTGAACATTTTCGATGAATGGATAATTTTCAGATGGATTTATAATTTCTTCTTCTTTTATTGAATCGGTTTTAATGTGAAATTAGGTGAAAAAAGTCGATTTTCTGCATCAACCAGCGGCTGCAGGCCTCTGAGTTTAAAACGCAAAGAAGCAACAAACCCGCCGCGACAGAAGAAGAACAGGTGGACTCAGAAATACCAGTTCTTAGTGGGAACGGCTCCTGGTCTCCAGTTGGATCCATGACGCCTTCAGGGACACCTGCTCTGCGCGCATCCATCAGCTCCAGCATCTCCACAATGTTCAACAATAAAAGCATCCAATCTGAGAGATTTCACGCTCCGTGGCTGCGTGGACTGCGCCGATCACAGCTCTCAGGACAAAGAGAGAAAAAAACGCGCAAAGTTGAGCAGATTCCGCTTTTTTTCCGCGCGCCACCAATTAGTGCTTTTATCTGAGTGTAAAGATGTAGCGGTTAGTTGTGTTATTATAGAGCCGACATACAACCACGAACGGGAAGGAAGAGGAAATTTTGTAGCAGAAGGAAAGAGCCTCTCTCACTGCGCACTGAGCTGTGGGTGGCCGCCGCCTCCAGCGGCCCCAGCGGCGGCCCTCAGGGGCCCCTCACCTTGATGGAGCAGTCCATGTCGGCAGCAGCGGCAGCAGCCTCCAGCTCTCTGGCATTTAGTCGGTTTGGGGAGAAACTTGGAGCCGGTTCAGTCTCTCTTCACTCCGCGCAGCCTTGCATCGCCTCTGTGGCGCAAACCATTGCAGTCAGTTTGTGCTGCGCTCTCTAACCGGATGAGGTTTTTTCTTCTCGCTCTCTCTCTCACCCTCTAAATTGGGAAGTGAAGTCACTCTGAAGCCGCTTCTCATGAAACCAACACCTCCTGCAAACAAAGAGCAACACAGGCAGCCTCTAAACGCTCAGAATGAGCCGCAAAACTGGAGAGTTTCAGCTTTCTGGGAAACAATATTTCACCTGAAGAAGCTGCTTCAATATTCAACAAAGGACAAAGTTTCCTTAGCTGAGGATTTAAAACATAGTTTTCGCCTAAAACTGGTTTTAATTCATGGTTTAACCTGCCTGACCAACCAGAAAGCATTTAGCAAAGCATTTGGTTTCAATACTTGATCCAGAAAATGAGAGAAAAATAAGATGGAGGTTGATGCAGAGGAAGGATCAGTTCCTGGAAACAGGAAAAACTTTTTCTTACTGATTTAAGATGAATTATTGCGTTTCTTTTTGCTCAGATTGAATATATTTATTAATAAAGCCCAGCAGGACAGATCTAGCTCAACATTTAAAGCTGTAAGAGTTTCTGCAGAAAGTCGCTGATGAACAAAAGTTTCATTTATTCACATCAATAATTATGACCGAAAAACAAGTTAATGGATGCAGAGATATTTAGACCCACAGAGAGAATGATCAGAGGACAAAGTTACATTACTGAGAAGATCATGGTGTTCTATTCTATTCTATTCTATTCTATTCTATTCTATTCTATTCTATTCTATTCTATTCTATTCTATTCTATTCCATTCCATTCCATTCCATTCCATTCCATTCCATTCCATTCCTTTCTATTCTATTCTATTCTATTCTATTCTATTCTATTCTATTCTATTCTATTCTATTCTATTCCATTCCATTCCATTCCATTCCATTCCATTCCATTCCATTCCATTCCATTCCATTCCATTCCATTCCATTCCATTCCTATTCTATTCTATTCTATTCTATTCTATTCTATTCTATTCTATTCTATTCTATTCTATTCTATTCTATTCCATTCCATTCCATTCCATTCCATTCCATTCCATTCCATTCCATTCCATTCCATTCCATTCCTATTCTATTCTATTCTATTCTATTCTATTCTATTCTATTCTATTCTATTCTATTCTATTCTATTCTATTCTATTCTTTTCTATTCCATTCCATTCCATTCCATTCCATTCCATTCCTTTCTATTCTATTCTATTCTATTCTATTCTATTCTATTCTATTCTATTCTATTCTATTCTATTCTATTCTATTCTATTCTATTCCATTCCATTCTATTCTATTCTATTCTATTCTATTCTATTCTATTCTATTCTATTCTATTCTTTTCTATTCCATTCTATTCTATTCTATTCTATTCAGTAAATCTGATTTTTAGTTCTTTGATTATGCTTAATTTTTTTATATTGTTCAGAACTTTGGCGAAATGCAGGGAAAACCTTTTTTGACTCTTTATTGAAATGATAAAAATCAGCCAATGAGAAGAGAGGATGAGGCGGGATGTGAATCAAGCTGCAGTTTGTTTATTCTAAATAAAACATTAAAGCTGAGGAGAATTTAAACCACTAGAGTTCCTTTATAGGATCAAACACAATAGGATATAAAAAATATATCCATTTTCCTTTAAATTAAGTCTTTCTGATTTAAGAGGTTTAGATCATTTTGTTAAAATAAAAACAATTGTTAAATCTAATGTGTCTTATATCAGTTATGAATAAACTTCCAGAAGAGTTTAAACTATTAAACTTTGTTTTAAACAAAGTCAATCAGAAAAATATAACTGATGATCAAAACATGAGAAAAGAAAAATATGAGAAGAAAATCAAAGTTTTGTCCTGATAAGTTTGATTTGCTTATGAAAGAATAAAGTGAAGCTTTATTATTTCTGAGTGTAAATTGGAAAGAGATCATTTAAGCTCCTTTATTTGGTAAAATCTAAAATATTTTTACCGATATCTGTGCTCGGCATTCATCATTTCATCATTTCATCTCTGGATAAAAACTCCTAAAGTCTTTGAGTTTTTGTCATTGAAGGAAAAACATCTTCTGGAGATAAAGTTCTGCATAAAGAGTGAAAATAAAGAAAACATCTTAAACTGGGACCTGATGTCAGAATGTTGTTTCCACTTAAACCACCAGTTTGTTGTTTTTTTTATATATATATTTGATTGAATTTTCTCTTTTTGACACAAACCAAATCTTGTAACATTATTTATAGACACATTCAGTCATGCTTTCACCATCAAACCTGCATTTGTTTACTTCCAAAAATATATGAAACCCTTCAGATGAAGGCAGAGAAAAATAACGAAGCAATAAATGAATCCGTGTTCATCTATAATCTCTGGACTGGAAATTCGTTCGCTCAGATGATGTCCTTCAGACAGGAAATGGATTTGGAAAGAAGGAGAAGAATGCAGCTAACAGCTTAAAACAGCACCCCCCCCCCCCCGAACATGGACCAGCATCTCCTGAACGAGCAGAACAAACACCATCCAAACTGCTTTATATGAAATAAACAGTAAAATAAAAGATTAATACAACCAAATGAAAACATGATAGAAGGTGGAAATAAAACAAATAACAGTTTATTTCCAGCAGCAACGACTTCCCAGTCCCAGTTCAGATGTTTGATCAATGAACAGGAAGTGATTCCAGGAAAGGAGGAGGATCCTGAACATCATCATGACTCCGTGGAAGCAGAGAAGGTCTTCATCAGGGTGGAGCGGAGCTCCAACCATTTCTATCCTGGATAAAATGACTTTTCAGCTCCATTCTCAGAGATTAGCGTTAGCAACATTTAGGCCTTTAGCCATCCGGTTTGAGGGCTTCATCAGAGCTGAGAAGGTTAATAAATAGTCATTTTATTCTGACTAATCCAGCGTCTCGCTGTAAGGAAAAACATTCAGGCTGAAGGTTTTTATCCACAAGAACAAAATCTTACCCATCAACCATTTGGCTAAAATACTTTTTCCCTTTAAATAAGTCAAAAGTGGATTTTAATATTCCTAATTCAGTCAATCAACTCATCTCCAAAACTGTCTTATCTCTCCTGGAGACGATTAATCTAGATTTAAATAGATGTTCTCCTTTAATCCCTATTCAATTCTATTCAGTTTATTTCTATAGCTCCAATTCCCATCATGTCATCTCAGGTCACTTTCCAGTTCACCAGATCATCCAGTCAGATTGATTCAAAGTTTTCTATCTAAGGAAAACCAGCTGATTGCATCGACTCATTGACTCTTCAGCAATCCCTCACACTAAGCATGCTTGTAGCGACAGTGGAGAGGAAAAACTCCCTTTGAACAGGAAGAAACCTCCAGCAGAACCAGGCTCAGTGTGAGCGGCCATCTGCTGAGGCCCACTGGGGTTCAAGGAGACAGAAGCAGAGAGACCTATCAGGTCTTTCTCCTTTTATGGTCACTTCATCAATCAGGAAGTTCCTTCCTCTGGACCAATGGAAACCCAGAAGGTCGGTCTAATGAGTCCCTGAAGGTTCTGCTGGTTTAGCCTCGGCCAGTTTAATTTATGTTTACTGGTCCTTTAATATTTCTAAAGTTTAATCCTGGATACCAAAGACAGCAGAAGATGAACGACGGCAAAGATGGATCTCCATCCTGAGAAGGACGTCCCATTTCATCTCCAACCCGTTGGTGATTAACTCCATCAGTATTTGGATGGAAAGGCCCTCATGGGGCCCTCATGGGGCCCTCATGGGGCCCAGGATCTTCCCTCCATCGTAAACAATCACCTATTTCTGCCATCTTGTTACGTTTTGGCTTTTTTAGACTTGCTTTGAAAAAGAAATAATAACATTTTAGGACCTTTGCAATCAAGCAGCTGGTTTTTGGAGGTAATGTGATCTGCAGGTCCCACTTATTCCGCTTCATTCAGAATCAGATTCCTAAATTTCCCAGTCGTTCCTCGGAATGTCTGGTTGAATAGTCCAGAAATAAACTCCTGATTCTGCCAACTTCACCAGCCTGCAGGAAAGTCTGGATCTCCGGAAGGAAAGCAGGAAGAACTGTGCACTGGATGAAGACGGCGTTCATTTCCTGCTTCTTTCATGTTTTCAGACTCTTCTCCTTGTCTCTTTGTTTGGGTTCAGCTTCTTTTCTTCTCTGATTTTCCTGTCTGGAATATTTGGGTCCCTTTAAGGCTCGCTGTCCGTAAGCGATGTGTCAGAGCAGGAAACGGATCAGGAACCAGCAGGAGGAAAGTTTGGTTTAGTTTCTGCATGAAAACTGGGAGGATCTGCAGCAGAAGGACAAACAGGAGACGTCTTAGAGGACGGTGGTCTCCATGATCTGCTCCTCACATCAATAGAGGGTTCCTCCACCAGGTCTACGTTAAGTTCCTGTGGTCTGCAGCAGGTTTCTGCTGATGGATTCCAGGGTTAAAGATCAGGTCTGCTCTGGTTTGAACCACAGGATCCAGAGAGAGATCCGCCTGAAGAAGCTCTGAGTCCTGGAGGTCCTAACTGCTCTGCAGCAGGAGGTCAGACAGAGGAACCTTTAACAGATCAGACGCTGAGACACTTTCTGCTCCTGGCTTTACTCTGGATCTGTTTCCATGGAAACGGCTCTGCCTCCATCTGCAGCTGAAGGCCTTCCAGCAGCATCTGGGACTCCAACAGATCCGCTTACTTTCATTTTATTCTGAGGAACACA